TGCTTGAATTTATAGGGTGCAAAACAAAACATCTTTTAAGCTGCATTTCCACTTGTATGATGGAAATGTTAAACTTAAAATGTTGGTTGTTTGTTTTCTTTTGCTGTCTCTCCTGGTCCTTCATAGCTTAAAAGTATACAGTAGCATGAAACAATGACATGAAAAAATAATGAAATGTAATAGACTGATGTAACATTAAATAATTTAATTGGACAATTCATTAATTATATTATATATATATATATATATATATATATATATATATATATATATATATATATATATATATATATATATATATATATATATATATATATATATATATATATATATATATATATTGTATTTAATCAATGAATATGAAATGTAAGGATTTACTATTAATTGTTTTATTTCATTTTACATTTATTTATATGAGTTATGATTTCTATAATTTGACATTTATCTATCTAACTTTTTTCCATTTTAATTTCCATACTGATTATGTAGAGGTCTCTGAAATTGATGCATCAAATAAAATACACCTGGCATTACAGGTTTGATGTCCATACAAACAACGCATGTATTTCTTTCTTTTTTTGCCTCACAATAATAAGCATTCAGTACTTTTTTAGTTTTTTATTTCTGAAGTAGTTATTTGCCTTTTCAATTGCATGCTCTTTGAAAACCCTTTCTTTCTCACAGCTGCACCAAGTTCCTCTCACTATTTGACTCTCAAAGGAGTTTGCAGACTGTGTAATTTAGATCAATAGCTTTGAGCATTCACTCTGAGCCACAGCATGCCCCTCCACAGTTAGCTGTTGGTAGAGGAGAAAAGAGAAGGAAATATAAAAGAAGATGACAGGAGATTAAAGAGGAAAGGAGAAGATCAAACGAACAGAGTGACGATAACACCCAGAGGTTAAAATGTATTATCTCCATAGGAGTGAGATATTCTCTAAGGGCTCCTCTTCCTTATCTTTCCCATTAGGAATATGATCCTGCTGGTTGCACAACTGTCTTTTTTTTTTTTACTGTGATAGCTGTCATTTCATATAATAATGTACAAGGTGGCTAAGGAAATCGAGCCAAAGATGGTTAATGATGGTTAAACTGTGCATCTTATCCATATAAAACTACAAAACAGAAAATCATAAAGACATTTAGGAGGAAAATATATTTTTTGGTCTGTAACACAAATTTGCATACATTTATAGCTCTGTAAAAAAATAGACAAACCAATTCCTAATTAGCAAGTAGCCAGACACATGAGCAAACAGATAAATACTGTAAATTAGTTGAATCTTCCCTTTCAGCTTGTGGTTGTCCAAGCAGTTAGAGTAAATGGATTCACTTATTGAGATTAATGTATGTATTTCCAAATCACCTTATTTCCGTCTTACATTTATCAAATTGTCAACTTACCGTAATGGAGCCTGCTGATTTATAATTAAGTTCAATTGTGACTTGTGACTATAAAACTGCAGTAAGCACGAGTAAAGCACACTGTGAGCTACTGTGTCATGATCTGTGCTGTTCTTCAGTGACGAATGAAGTAAAGTATTGCCGAGTAAATTAGAATGGCATTAGAGCAGTACGTTGGACAAGCTGCTTGTCAATAGTTGACTTTCATCTCTCTGCTTTCACAACATTAAGGAAATGCTGTATGGTTCCTGGCTATATTTTGAAGAAATAAAACACTGAATATTTATGTGTTACAGCAGCAAAAAGCACTACACTGTTGTTTTTTTCTTAACTTAAAGCAGCAAAGTCTCCAGCTAGACTCATCCCACAGGGCATCCAGGCGGCGAGAATGAAATGAATCACCCTGGCTTGTGCTAGTTAGCAAATAAAATAGAAGACAATGGACTGTGGCTATTACTGAAACAATTGCCTGCTCTATTATACTTTTTCTTTGGTGATTTTTAGGGAGCCTAGAGGGATCCTTTTTGTAAATAGCTGTATAAGAGTTTATCAGGGGCCTAAAGAAAAACTTGCACTGTACCATACTTTTCTTCGTAATAGAATAGATATTTAGAATAGATATTTCTGGTTCCTTAAAAGATCAATTCAGGTGTAGAAGAAGCAAGGTGGCAAAACCGCAAATAGATTTATACAGATGAATTCATACAAATGTACAAATATTAAACTTAATAACTAGTAACAGACTAATACATGCTGCTGCTCCATTCTGCTCTGCTCTGTACTTTGAAACAACAGGTAAAACTGGCTAATAGGTCTTGAAGAGGAAAATATAGAAGATGAGTATGTCCATATGCTGTTTCTGATACCATATTTCATTAAAACTGACTTTTTTGTGGTAGTCCGGATTTTCTTCCGTATTATCCTAGCTGAATTTCAGATTATTTTTTCTTCATGTTTCACAAGGGAGCAGTATCTTTTTTAAAACTGCCTTAAAATCAGTAGGGGTGTAGTCCCTTTTATCGTTTTCTGTGCCTTAGCAAGACCTCTGCGAGTTACTATCCTCCTGATGGCACTTTCAGGGCCCTCGAATATCTATGATCAACAGCTGTTCTGTTTCCTACAAAAATCTTCATCTAAATTTATGCTTGCATTCAGTTAGAAGCGGAAAGCATTCAGATAAGGAAACATAACACTTGAAAGTTAAAATACCCTAACCTTAGACAGCTCTTTTTCAGAAACCAATTTCTGATTGGTTTCACGTTTGGTGTCAACATACTATTAAATAATAAAATATTTCTCCAACCAAACCACATAACTTCATGCCAAAGAAGAAGCTTACTGGAAGCACCTATTATTGCCCTGTTGTTTTTAAAGGAAGTAATTATTTTTTCCTGTGTTGTTAAATCTGTGCACGAAATGTGCTGAAGAAAATGTGACCATGCTTCCTGGATCCATTAATCCAACTCGTTAATTCCAACTTGTCAAATATTTACACTTCATCCAGTCTTCTGTGCGTCAGATAGAAATGCAATGGAAGTACCCCTCTCGTCCTTTATTGATTTTGATGCACATGGTAAATGACAGGTTGTGGCAGGACCTACGACAATTTTCCATGAACTGTAAAGTCAAAAGGTATCACTAACCCATCCCTTACCCTAAAACTAAAGGAACACAAGTATACACGTTACCAGGCCAGCTGAAACCCTTGGCTGGGCCCAGAACAGAATTGACGAGTTGGGATAGTTAATTAAATAAGTGAGAAATATTGAATTATTTATTAATTAAAGCTGCAGTCTGTAACATTGAGAAGAGAGCAGACTTCGACTGAAAATTTGAAGAAAAACAGGTTTCACGTCACTCCCCCACCCTCTCTGCTTCACTCATGCCCCACCTCCAAGCTCCACCCCTCTCACAGCATCTGCGCGGCTACCAAGCGTCCAAGCAGCGTACGCGGCATGGAGTGTGAACCGGTAAGAGCGATAACACGCACCTGGTCAGACGCTCCTCTGGCTGTGATTGGTTGTTTTGACTCGTCCCGAATTATTCTTTCCAGATTGAAATACAGGCAGTATGCGGGACCAATTGAAGCAGTTTTTTTCACAGGTTACATATCACATGTACTGCTGTCTGGGCATAGGGACAGTTTTAGCCAATATGCCAAAAAATTATTTTTAAAAACTTACAGACTTCAGCTTTGAGGATAAAAAGAATATTTTGTTATTTAATGCAAGTATCTCAGTTGACATTTAAATGTTTACATTTACAAATGGAGATCTTTCCAGTTTTTATTTCATGAAATATGCGGCACATTTGGCTTTCCATACATGCTCCAGTCGCATTTGATCCAATTTATAGATTTTTACTTGTGTCATTTCTACTTGTGTGACATGTTTAAATTGGACCACAAAATGTTCTTGTCAAAATCTTTCTTCAGCAGTTCCGGCTGTACTCTAGGATTGTCTATTTATTCACGTCCACCGGAGCATTGTTGCACCCGCAGACGCACCATGTAGTCACGTCAGTCAAATTCAAAACTTCTTAACAATACCCATTGGTCCGATCTCAATTAACTTAATCTAGCAAAGATAGGGAGCAAACCCTTGACAGAACTGTGAGAAACAGAAACTGAAAATCAGAGCGCTTATAAACTATGACTGCCATCTCAGGCTTTTTCAGGGGAGGACAATCTAATGTTCTGTTCGATCTAAAGCTGTTCCTGCAGCTTGAGGCAGCGTCTTCAGGTGAGAGCCGCTGCACCCTTTATGTTAAACACTGAGTGGAAGATTCAGGCTCTGTATTTTCCTGTCTACACCTGCAGCACAGCCAACCTTATGTATAGCAGCTTGAAAAAAAAAAGAGAAGTTGCGTCAGCGGCATAACCAGTTAGAAGGAATGACTGGATCTGCCTGGTCACTCAGCTGTCCAAGCTTCTTCCAGAATTTTTGGTCGCTGACTCTGATGAATCTCTCCCGACCTGCAGCAGTTTCTTATTTTAATGAACTTTTAAAACATCAACTTTTGCTTCTGGTTAAATTCTTGGTCTTCTTTTTTCTGGTGATTACAAACACTAAAATTGGCCCACTGATTAATCGGTTCGGTTCTGATGGGCTTCAGTTAGAGAGCAATTGAGCATTACTTTAAAAAAGGCTATCTCAAAAAGGTCTATAATTGTTGAATCTGTAACCAGCCTACCCCCCCAACACACATACCAACCCCACCACGTCAAACCTTCATGCTCACTGGATCCATATGTGTGTTTTTGTTTTGTTTTCAAAGCAATCCCTTCAAGAACAGAGGGTTCACATTGAGATTCAGTCTGTTGATGCCCACTGGAGCAGGATGTCCATCCTTTATTATCACTTTTCATTTTGTTGACGGGAACTTGTTTTGATCCATCCAATATGTTTAATTGACACTGGCAAACAGTCTGCTGCTGGGACGGAAATATTTTAAGGACTTTAGAAAATGACTTTTTGCTCTGCAATGTACATTTAATGTTTAATCATAAGTTACAGACGTCAGTCTTGTTTTTCAAGCTTCATTAGGCAGACATGACAGTCCTTGTCTTCTTTCATTCCCTTTTCTTTGTACTGCAGATTTGAGTTCAGGCTCTGGGGGCAAACTTCTTGTTTCTCTTGGTAGTCTGCTCGATGACCAACACTGGCATCATGTAAAGCTAGAACGACTCAGCACTCATCTCAACTTGACAGTGGATAAAAACATGCAGCAAGTTCATGTTCCAGCTGAGCTCAGCCACTGGCACATTCACATGGTAAGATGCATAACAGAAATAATTATAAAATATTTTCCTTTGAACAAGGCACTTGGATTTAAATTAACCTCTGTATTTGTACATTTATGTGCAGTTGTGTGTTTATGGAATGTAGTGAAAAGCCCCCAGTACAACAAAAAAAGCTCCCTGTAAATTTAGTCCAATAAATAAGCATACGTGAGCAAAATTTACAATGTGCTATTGTGTCAAGACAAAGAGAGTAATTGTTGCAACCATATCCCTTTTTCCATACTTATTCATCATTTTATCATTCTGAGGAAATAGTTCACTGCTCCATGGGTGTCCCAAATGACAGTTTGAAATAAATGAGCTTTTCTGAAGACAGGCCCTTGTCCACTGCCTTGTTAGCTGCAGTAAAAGTTAGCTTATTGCATTATGATGGTCATGCAGCACCTTTTTCAACTTTTATCTGCAGCCACCTTAAAGTCACAACCTCTATAAAATAACCTATTGAAGTTAATGCAAAGCACACAGGATGGAAAAATTTGCAAAGTGTTCAGTGCACAATATTATTAGTGAGTAGAATGCTCTCATTGCTTTTTAGCCAAGTGATTACCGGTAGTCAGGTTAAAATTAGACATATTAGTTTCAATGCACTCATACTTTATGTACTATTTTCAGCTAGCACGAATGGCCACATCAACTTTTAGATGATGATCCCACTAACCATAGCATAGAGGTCAGTCATTGCCTCATACTGAGGACAAGCTGGAAAAAGCAACAGCTGTCGTATCACAGATGCTATTTAGGTATAGGAGCATTTTTCATTATGCTTGATGCTTGATGCATAATGAGCATTTTTCATTATGCCCCTGCCTGTCCCCCGCATTGTGCATGTTGCATATGCTTGTAATCAAAATTTAACAATGTTCAAGAAAATGCTTTTAATCAGGAGTAAAACTATCACATCCTTTTTAAAACAGTGATGTCAATGAGGTTGTAAAATAAAAGGTGGTAGACAGCTACTATTGATAGACTACTAGTGCCTTAGTTAAAAAAAATACTGGCTTTTTGAAACTACCAAACATCTGTAATTTAGCTAAGAAACTGGCTAAAACTTTGTGTATAGCTCTTTCTTTTTGCCATTACCTAATTTGAGCAAAATAGCTATACAATATTACAAACTTATATAATTGAGGGTGATCTATAATTTAAAGCATGCAACTAAAAGAAAATGAATGTTTTAACAACAACCAACCTGTTTGTCCTTGCATGGTCATGGTCGGCTTTTGGCCATATCCAGCGGGCATTAGGCAAGTAACAGTGTACATCCTGACATTTGGCAAAAAAAAAAAAAAAAAGAGGAAAGTGATGTTTTTGAGAAAATATATAATTATCATTAACACCAGGGGTCTGTTTCATGAAGCAGGTTTAGACAACTCTAAGTTGTCTAAACCTGAAAACAAGACAACTCTGATCAGGTTCACATAGATCAGTTTTTCTTCAACCTCTGTTTCAGTTACCATAGTGACATTCTCCCCAGAGCTAACCTATTTTGTGGCATGATAATGGCTTTTCATACTTGTTGCACACGCTTTTATATCTGAGTTCTGATCAGCCGTTGTGAAACCGAACCCTCAGAGTTCCCGACTTTTGGCTAGATCAATTTAGAGTTGCATATTTGAATCTGATTTTGTTACACCTGCTTCAAGAAATAGACCCCAGGTGTTACTTTTGTGTTGGTGAATTCTGCTCTGCTGAAACTAAGGCAAATCAAATATTCCATGTGACTCAATTACGGCCAAAGAAATGTTTATATTGATTAAGGGGAATATATGTTTTTTTGTGTGGAAATTTTGGTGTCTCAGTCAAGTTTTTCTTTTCTGTGCAACTTTATGTGATATTCATAAAAAACTATTAAAAGAACCAGGCTTAACAAGGATAATTAGGAACAGCAGTTTTAAAAACTAGTCCTTCCTGTTTTTTAACCACTGATTTTTTTTTATGAATTTAATTAATTTACTTTATTTTATTCAAAATAGTACAATGTTTTTTTTGTGTGTGTTTTTACAATATTTTTGTCAGCTAAGTGTGGCAGCTGTTCAGAGCCATGGACTCCAAACACCTATCCTCCCCAACCGGAACTTTTGTGGATGCCTGGAGAACCTGTTATACAATGATTTCAATTTGATCAAACTGGCCAAACAAAACAGCCAACAGGTCATCGCAGTGGTAAGATACTGTATAAGTGTTGTTTAAAATAACCTTTTTTTTTACAGAATGACATACAGGTAAAGCCTACACACCATGCCATTGTGTTATGATACCCCGTTTCCCAAAAAATTCTACTTCTATTTATGTACTTTTTTCTTGTAGGTAATGTACTTACCTACTGTATTTGCTTTGCTGCTGATATATTTAAACTTTTCCATTGTGGGACATGTCATTTTGATAATAACATATTCACTAAACTCTTAATCCTAAAAGCTAACAGAGCTATTTAACACATGCATGAAAACATATATGGAAATTATTATCATACTCAAACTATATCATTGATTTTCTGTGAAAGCTGAAATGCAAAATGTTTCTGTTAAGAATAAAATCTTCAGAGGTAGTGAACTGTAGACTTTGGTTGAGCAACACTAGACTAGACTTGTTGGTCTCCATATCCCAATACGATCTCTTCTGTGTCCGACCTTTCGGACATTCCAACATCTTTTTCTGAATCCGACATTGTAGCATGGCATAGACAATTAGCATTTGCAGTTTGAAGAACACCTGCTTGCTTCTGATGATTTCCTTTGGCGTCAGCACAAATTCGACGAATAGTGTTTGTGTTATGACTCATCAAATTAAACTACAATACACTACAATTACATTACACCCAAATCTGGTCACCCTACATCCAAATCTAGTGACAACTAGTGTAATTGGATGAGTCATAATGCAAACACTATTCGGCAAATTTGTGCTGACGCCACAGGACATCATCAAAAGGAAGCAGGTGCTCTTCAAATTGCAAACACGAATTGTCTATGCCATGCTAATGTCGGATTCAGAAAAAGATGTTGGAATGTCTGAAAGGTCAGACACAGGCGAGGGTGTATTGGGAGATGGAAACCAACAAAACCTCCCTCATCCTTGGCCCTATCTCAAAGAATTTTTTCCAAATAGTCCTAATAGAGCTTTAAATTGATATAGTGGCATCAGGCTGTCTTTTATACTTTAAGTAGTTTTTGGAGCTCATACTTTTACTTTTACTTGAGTAAAGAGGTCAAGTTGATACTTCAACTTTTACCAGAGTGTTTTTAAACTGCAGTATCTATACTTCTACTTAAGTAACAAATGTGTGTTCTTTTGACACCACTGGTGAAGAGGCAGTGAAGACAGTATTATGGGACATATTTCTATATGATATCCCATCATTCAAGTACAGAAGGACAACTGTGTCTAGCGTTCAAAGCTCTCCTGGAGATGTGAGTTAAAGCTCCTTCTCACAGGGGACTCTGCCAGACGTTCCCAGCAAACAGTCACAATACGTCTGGGCCTACCAGGTCTGAAAGGCGTCCTCCCCCACCATTGGAGCCAACTTACCACCAGGTAGTGGTTGGTGGGGAGGTCTCCCCCTCTATTCACCCAAATGTCCAAGACATGCGGGCGCAGGTCAGATGAAACAACAACAAAGTATCATTGAACTATAGCCTAGGGCAGGGTTCCCCAACCTCTTTAAGGCTGAGGGCTACTTAATGGGTACTGAGTCATAGGAAGGGCTAAAACTACTGACCTACGAACTGGAGGGATTGGCGTTAAATTGAACTTAATTTCATACATAACGAACATATTTTTATTGGAAGGAAGGAAGGAAGGAAGGAAGGAAGGAAGGAAGGAAGGAAGGAAGGAAGGAAGGAAGGAAGGAAGGAAGGAAGGAAGGAAGGAAGGAAGGAAGGAAGGAAGGAAGGAAGGAAGGAAGGAAGGAAGGATAAGCCGTTCACCTAAATTCATACATAATAAACATATTTTTATTGTTTCTAACCCTAACCCACTTTGAAATCTTTATAAATGCTTAAAGACTCAGTATTATTAAAATGATGAAATGCAACAGAATAAAATAAAAATTTCAATCTTAGCCCTCAGGTGAGTTTTGCTGTTTTAAGATGCTGTGGGCACCCCATGAGGGCACCTTGCAGCCTGCGGGCACCTGATTGGTGACCCCTGGCCTAGGGTGTCCTGATGCCAAAAGCACATATAGACACGCGTTTGCCTGAACATGGTGTTCGTTATGGACAATCCATGATGAGCACAGAAGTCCAACAACAGAATACCACTCGAGTTCAGGTCAGGCTGGCCATTCCTTCCAATCATGCCTCCCCAGGTCTCACTATCATTGCCCACGTGAGTGTGTAAGTCCCCCAGAAGAACAAGGGAACAAGAACTATAAGCTACTTATTTGATCTTTTAATTAATTTTTAGATTGTCACTACATTGCACCAAACAATATTTCCATGTCATATACGATGGTTGACAGTTCAACCTTTATGTACTGTTGGAAAATGAAATTTTCTTATTTTTTGTGTTTTACATTAAATTCTCTATAAGCACTTAAAATCTCAATCTTTCTTGTTCTATCTCAATAAATGGACGAACTAGACTTTAACTTCCCAATTTCATTTCATTTTCATCTCTGTATCATCAATATACCATTGGACACTATATCAACATAATTATCATCATGAGAGTTTTTTATCATGTACGTCATATTTTTATTTTTAAAGTTACTATCATCATTAGGATCATTAGTGCCATTATATTCTCCTTTATTATTGTCAGCAGTCTCATCACATCCCCTTTGTTGAGTTTACACAGCCCAAAGCAAAGGAAGCTAAGAAGAAGCACAGAAGAAACAAACAAAATTTGGGTTTATAAATTATTCTAGATGGCTTTTAAAATTATTTTTAAACCATTTTGTTGGCAATAAAATAATGATTTCACATTAGCAGTTCTCTCTTGAATGCATTTACCCTTTAGGCATGACTCATAAGATTTTATAATAGTTTATGGAAATTTGATACATAAGTTACTTGTAGCTTTTTGTTTCTTTCTGTTGCAGCGAGGAGCTTAGAATGTGTGAAATGGGCACTGATGCTAAATAACCTCGATTCTTCATGTTTTTGTGGAAGCTGATACAAATATGGTGGAACAGGTGTCATTTTTCCAGTAGGCGCTGATGAGACCTCTGTGACATCAAGTCAGACTGATCAAGCTGCTGCAGCTGATGAATATTTATGATTTGTCATCTGCTTCACAGTAATTTTAACCCATCTCTCTCTCTCCTCTCTTCCTTGAACAGGGCAATATGACCTTTTCTTGCAATGAGCCAGTTTTCGTTGCCGTGACGTTCACTGACTCTCACAGCTTCCTCCAGCTGCCTGTTCTGACATCATGGTTGTCGGGGATTGTTTCTATAACATTGCAGTTCAGGACCTGGAACAAGGCAGGGCTGCTTCTGACCTTTGGCCTGCAACAGCAGGAAGGCTCAGTCTTCCTTTATCTGAGCGAAGCCAGGCTTCGCCTTCAGATCAGAAGAGCTGGAAATACTCTCCTAGAGCTAAGCACTGGTATGTTTACTCATTATCTTACTTCTCGATCTACTCATCTCACTTATATATAGTATCTCACATATATGTTTGGCTTTAGGTAAGCTACAAACTAACAGTCAGTTTTTCATATAAAGTGCTTACCTTCTCCCTTATTGATTTCATAAAGTTCTTTACTCTGACTTTCACGTTCAAAAGTTATGGTTGTTACCAGGGCTGCTATTTAAGTGCAATGACTTGCATAAAAGACACTGTAAATATAGGAATTTGTTGAATGCACATACATTCATTCCCATTTGCTTCAATAAATTAACAAAATCCCGAGCAAGAAATTGCTCCAACCTATCAGTAATTTGATCTCAGTAGAAATACATCTATTTCGGGAAGTCCACAAAAGCTGGTTAGAGAACGTTAGAGAACAAACATCATCATGGGTATGAAAGACAGCAGGGAGAAAGTCCTAGTGAAGTTAAAAGCAGGTTAACATAATAAGACATTTCAAACTTAGAAAATTTCACAGAGCTCTCTTCAATCCAGCTTCAGAAAATGTAAAGAATAGTTCACATCTTCAGCAAAAACACTGAAGGTGGAGACTTATTTAAACACTCGGAAAAACGGATCTATTGTGAAAATAAATCTCCCTGCACAAACTTCCCTAGCCTTTAAACGTAGTTTAGCTACCAACACACTAGGGACACATTATTTTAGCAGAAATTGGGTCATATGTGATGGGTTGGATATTACCACACGTATTAGACATAAAAAAGAAGAAAAAAAGAAGAAAAAAACAGAAAACCTTTTTATTTTATTTTACAATCATCCTCTATAGATCTTTGTATTGGTCTGTCATGTAAAGAAAACAATATTAGAAAAAAAACATTGACAAGATGTGCGTAGCAAGCAAGAGTGCAAGGCCTCTAGAACAGATGTCACCGTGTTGCACACTAACATTTTTCATATGTGAATGATTTTTTTCCATTGAACATTCATTGCCTTTGAAATGGCAAAAAGTAAATACATAAATTACTAAACTCTAAGGAAGAATAAATTGAACTAAAAATAGGTACAATACTCATTCATTTTATGGCTAGTAACTATAAATTCAATATATTTAGTCATATAAAATGTATATCATATTATGATATATAAAGATCAAGAAAGTTAATAGGAATTGGCTTGGTTAATAATTATTAGTTATTCCCAATTTCTGTGTACAAACAGGCTCAGGTCTGAATGATGGCCAGTGGCATTCTGTGGAGCTGAACTCCAAGGAAAATCATTTGAGCATCACAGTGGACAGAGACGAGGGAGCAACTGCTCACACCAGGACCCCTTTACTTCCAACAGCAGAAAGTCAACTCTTTTTTGGTGGTAAGAACAAGCATTGAAGAGCTGCCTGATGTGTGGTGTTTAAGGCTGGTCTGGGCATAAAATAATATCAATATACCGTGTAATAGACACCTCGTCAATATCAATAGAATATTTCCTAGAATTTTACTGAGTTCCAATCCAGAACGGAATGACATTCTGAGGGATATAGGCAGAGGAAAACATGTAGCCTCTCATGGCCAAGCTAAATTGGGTTGGTCGTAGGGCTGACTTATTTCCAAAGGTTACAGTTTGCCTTTAAATTGTTATAAGGATAAAATTAAAATTCAAATCTTTTTTTTTTTTTTTCTAGTCCTTATTTTAAATTGATGGAGCAAAATATAAATTTGTAGTTATTAGTGGTGGGCTATTATTGGTGTCACGTACTATGTTAACACCAGACTCTAATCAGGCGATAAACAAAATATTGCTGTTAAGCTATTCTCAAAATGGGTTTGGGGGCTGGTCTTTTACTAATGATGACTTTCACTATGATATTGTAACGTGTTTGCCAGCAGATAAGTAACTCACACTGAAACCAAGGTCCAGTCTCCAAGCTCTTTATTTATACAATACACGAATACAGGAAATGCTTGTTCCGTTATATCCAACTGGTGAAACATTCTTCCGATGATGCCAGTGTTAACGCTTACAACTGCAACCTCAAGAACATAATGTTAGCTTAACATGAACAGACTACTAACATAAACAACCCTCTTTAACACAACTCGGATAAAAGGATGATGTTTTCCCCATCTTGACATTATTCGGCAGCCCTTGCGGCTATTCCAGCCTCACACAACATTACAATGAATGCCTGAGTGACTGGTGGAACAAGGAGAAATAGAGCTTGGACTGCCTGACACAACGCTACTGATAGCAAAAAGTCCATCATAACCTTTTATGTGGGCCTACAGTTCAAAATTCATGTTTACAGAAGAGCTATATGTGTATATATTTTATCTCTTTTTATTTTTTATTTTTAACCTTTTTTTTTTTTTTTCTTTATTATATTGTATAGTTGGATGTGTGTATATATTATATAAAACTGTAACTGGAGCGTGTAACAAAAGTAATTTCCCTCTGGGATTATTAAAGTATTTCTGATTCTGATTCTGATTTATCTGAATAAACACTTATTAAACACAAATAGATCTTATTGAATATTATTTATTTTCATGAAAAGTTATCGTAGTAGAAAAGCTTTCTCAAGCAGTTTGTGATGCATTTTGTAAACAGGAGATAGGCCCCTGGTCTAATGCGTCACCTGGCTTAAGAAACCTCTTTTAAAGACTTACTTTTACCTATTATTCAGGTAGCACACACATATCAACCTTATCTTATTTTATTGTTATCTTATGTTATTCTTATCTTATCTCATCTTATTCCTATATCTTTTTTGTACTTACAATCTTATTTTTATATTTTTATTTTATCTTCTGTAAACGGTTGCACTGCACGAAAAAGATTTCCCTCAAGGGATTTATAAAGTAATTCTGATTTTGATTCATGAAGCACTTTGGCAGAATTCAAATAAACGATTTTAATCTAGATTAATTCTAAGATTACAGTGAAATCTAGATAAAAAAAAAAAATCTATGCCTACCACTATTATTTCTTGACATCAACTGACATAAAAGGCTTAAATCATGATGCAATTTTTAGCCATATTCCACCGCTATAGAAGTGGTAAATACATTTGCAATTTTTGTTCTCTTGTTTTAAAAAATACGTCCACTTAATAGAGAGTGGCAACAATTTTTTTCTGAATTGTCCTGTTTGCTACAAAAGTGTTTTCATGAAAAAACTGTAGACATAGACTTGATGTGTGTTGAATAAAATTTGAGTATGCACTGCAGATATCTTCTAGTACTGTCTCCACTGATAAGTAAAGTCAATCAGTTACCAATCTCTCTACTCTCTCTTCTTTAAGTTTTGGAATCTTCTTAATCAATTTTCTCCCAACGCAGTGCATTACAGTTGAGTGTAGTCATTACTCCTATTTTGTTAACTTCTACTCATAAAATGTTGATTTAAACTATTTACCCTATTTCTATACCTTAATTTCCCACAAAATGAATGCTTCACAAATATACAAAACAATTATCATCTGTTTTGGTGTAGATCCCAGCCTGACTGTAACAAAGCCAGAAATGTGTGATTGTTGTAGTTTAAAGCATTTAGTAACTGCCATTCAAATGTTGAAAAAAAGAAAGTTAAGCCTACAGTCATCATACACTGCTCAAAAAAATTAAAGGAACACTTTGAAAACACATTAGATCTCAATGGGGAAAAAAAACATGCTGTTTATTTATACTAGTATGGACTGGGTGATGTGTTAGAAACAAAAAGATGCCACATCATTTGATGGAAATGAAAATTATCTAGCTACAGAGGGCTGAATTCAAAAAGACCCCAAAAATTAAAGTGAAAAAAATATGAGAACATGAGGACATGAGACCTTTATTATCTCCATGAGGTTCTAGCGTCAGTGTTGTGCTGAAGGCCACTGACTCTTGACTTTACAGGGAAAAGGGTTTTCAGTCTGCGGGATAAAATCAGAAATCACATTTTGATTTAATTGATATATTTTTGGAGTTTCCACCTCATTTGAACTTTTTCTTTGTTTACTGTTACTTTTAACTGTGTGCATATGCACCTTGTAAGTTTTTTTTTTTTTTTTCCATTATGACACAATCCTCACTGTGTTTAATTGTGGTGTTTTGTGATAATCAAATACAATTTAGTACACAATTATCAGAATTAGCTTCATTTGCCACTTTAGCCAAATAAAGCTTAAACGGCAAATAATCCCTAGGGTCATATGTTATCATATGATTATCATAGTTAATAAGTAAAATCAATTTAAATATAACATTTATTTTTTCTCTAAATTTAAAGGTTCTGACAATCCCTCAGAGATTTTATAGAACATAAGTAAAAAAAAACATACAGATTTACATTTGAGTCAAAAATCTGAAACTAAATGAAACATTATTTGGTAACAACACCCTTTTATAATAATGTAATATTGTTTACAATTTTTAAAACTTCAATAGAGCTTCATCCCTGAGTGTATATCATATTCTTTTGTGGTTGATTGCAAAGTTGAGGCTCTCTGGTAAACTGTTCCATAGACAAGGACCAGAGTTATGGAAGAAGACCTCGCTGTGAGTTTTAGTTCACACTTTGAGTTAAAATGTGGGTACCTCAGGGTTCGCCAGGGTTCATAACATAAAAGCAACTCAGATAAATAAGAAGGCCCAAGGCCATTCAGACATTTATAAACCACTATTAGAACCTTAAATTCCATCCTAACACAAGGAGCCAAAACAACGGTTTTAAAACTAGAGTAATGTGTTCCCATCCTCTGATCCTTGTCAGAACTCGTCCTGCTGTGTTCTTTAGTAGCTGTACGCTAGAGACAGACTTTTTAGGAAAACTAGAGAGCAGGGTGTTACTCTAATATATTCTAAGGGAGATAAAAGCATGGATCAACATCTATGTGCTGCCAAGAAAGAAAAATGAGCGGAAACTGGCGATATTTTATATGGCGATAAAATCCTGCCTGGGACATTTTGATATGTGGAATAAAATTTAGCTCAAAAGAACACCCAAGTTTCTCACACATTTAGAAGGTTGAGATTCTATAATTTTGATAAAATAATACCTGTCTTGTCCTGAGGACCAAATTTAACCTTCAGTCTTGCCTTGATTGAGCTATAAGAAGTTCTCTGCTGTTCATAACTTTATATCTAAAATACAGTTTCAAAGGTTTTTAACTAGTTCTAAGTCATCAGGAAAAACAGTAATGTAAAGCTGGGTATCATCAGCATAGTAGCACTATAGATTATCAAGGTTTAAACTAATAAAATCCTTTCTTGAATGCTTATAATTATCAATTATACTGTATATGTGTACTTCTGCTCAGAGATAGAAGCTCTCACATTCATCGTAAAAATATTTACCTTTGAGAGTAGCACTAACTATTTTTATATCTTTATTCTACTTTTTGTATGCTGAGTCACATCAGATAAAATCTCTTTTAAATTTAAAACTCTAATACAAAGTTGTTTTTACCACTTTTTCATTTAGTGCTGAATACTGTTTTATACATTTTGCTTGCTCAGATGTTTATTAAAAGTGATTTCTGTGTATGCTTTAGGTTGTCCTGCTCAGGCAGTCAGCTTGGACTGCAGAAACCCATTTCAAGAGTTTCAGGGATGTATGCGCCTCTTGAAATTGGACAGCAAAACCGTGGACTTAATAAAAGTTCAGGATGGACGGCTGGGAAACTACAATGGGCTGCAGATTGATATGTGTGGCATCATTGACAGGTTTGTGAAATGAAATATTGAACAATTTTTTCTCATTCTGAGTTATTTTTTGATAAACAGGCAGTAAACAAAAGTTTTATCTATTGGCTCTTTAAAATTTATGGATTAGGCCTACTTCATTGTAGTCTTTGTTTTTTTTGTTTCATCCCGTTTCCTTATTTTTAATGTTCTGCTTCTACAGCAGTTTACTTCTGTGTGGTATTTTTTAAATGGTTGAGATAAATAAATATGATAAAATTGTTGTAATAAGATTTTGTAATTTAAGTCAAGCAGATTTCTATGAATATTTTTAATTTCTTATCTACTACTCCCAGGGTATGTCCAATAATAACGGTTTTGCTTCATTGGTTTTTATGTGCATTATTTTCATTTAGATACACTTCGGTGATATTTTGCCTTTCTAAATTCAGTAAATACGCTGACTTAATTTGTAAAATATATTTTTTATGATATACTTCTATTTAAAAGTTTTTCTTTTTCAATAACAGCTTGAACCTCCACTACTGCCTATTTGTATTTTGAAACAGATCAAATTAATAAAAAAAAAACTGTTTAAATTGAAGGTAAAACACTGACATTTTACATCCAATGATTTGAATGTGTGATCCAGGAATGAGAACAAACATTGTTAGAACAAAAATTATCTTAATGTAGTCAAAGTGGCAGCTTTTGAAACTTACGGAGAAGTTGATCAATACAGGTTGTTTTAAATGTTACAAGGCTAATTACTTTGCTATGTGTGGCTACACTGTAAGTTGGTGGAGCAATCAATAGCATTTTTCTTTTTCACTGGAATGGCCATGAAACAAGTAAAATAAGATTCAGTTTCTACCAATTTTATTTGGCGATAGGACAGCATTTGAAACTATTTGCTCATGTGGGAACAACAAAACCAAGGCTACATTTTTTTTCTTTTCAGGTTTGCAGAGCTAGAGAGTTTGCTTTGGTATTTGACACAATGGAAGGAGATTTAGGCAAACACACATTTGGTATACAGTACAAAGCATGTGAAGAATTTTTTTTTTTTTTTTTATCTAATAGCAACCCACATCTCCCCATAGCTGGAATGCATTTTCAGAGTTTCTGGGATTAGATATCTACATGTAGAGGCTTTATATATCAGTTCAAATAGCTAGTTATTGAGAGCTGTATATGTTCTTCTCTCATGGATTTAGGAAGCATTTATACCTGTGAGTACTTTAAGCAAGTGCAGCTTGCATAAGTAGGATGGGGTAAGGGGGTTATTTGTGTTGTTAGAATTTCTTTAACACCTGCTTGGGGGCTTACTGTCAGTCTCTTATCCACACCATAATAAAGAGATACAAAACACACAACAGATATGTTTTAAAGTTTCGCTGAGAGACTAGCAGTGACACTGAATAGATTTAATTTCCTCTGTCAAAGTAATTATAGACAAACTAAGATCAATTCTGTTTCAGGTTCATTTTTCTTAAAAATAAAACAAACTATACTGTAATGAGGTCTTTTGTCGGCAATAATAACTTGTTTTCTGTTTCAGGAAGCCTTGAATTACAAATTGACTGATTTCATATTCTAAAATTGGCTGTTCAGTGGTGCAGTGGGTAGCACTGCTGCCTTGCAGCAAGAAGGTTACGGGTTTGATTCCTGGAGTTTGCATGTTCTCCCTGTGCGTGTCCAAAAACATGACTGTTTGTTTAATTGGCTCCTCTAAATTCTCCTTGGTGTGTGCGTGGATGGTTGTTTGTCTCTATTCTAGCTATTCTAAGTGATGGTTCTAAATACTTATTTTAATAGGAGGTTAACAAATCTGGCTTCAAAAAGTGAAATTCCTGGCTTGTTTTTCTTCATACTGTTGAATCAACCAGGTGATATAAATTTCAATTTTAGCCCCTGTTTATGCAGTGGAACTGAAAATGCAAATGTAGGAACTAATCTTTGTAAGGGCCTTTTATTTTCTGAAACTGGTTTGACAACCCCTGAGTTCACTCTCTTAGAAAGTCATTATTTCTTATGAACAGACTAGAAATTTGAGAGCCTTTTACAGAACTAATAGGTTACCAAACCATGCTGATACAAAGGTACAAGGCCAGAGGAAATATCTAAATCCTTAATCTTTGTAGATTTCAATTCAAAAGTTATTACTATAAAACATCTGACAAAATTATTTACTTAAATGAATACTTACAAAAATATATAAATATTAAAAGTGATGTTTGTGGATAAATAGGGGGTATTAATCTGAGGAATGTTTTAATCTGAAGTTAGTTGTTTTAGAGTTAATAAAGCTGTCAGTCATTTTGTTTAATGATAAATTAAGCTTGAGAAAGAAAAGTTACTCCGAGGGGTGTCACCTTGAATATTAATTAATCTATTCCAGGTTTGTGTGCATTATCTGCATCAAATAACAGCTTTTGTGTTGGATTATTTGTAAATTATCCAGTAGAATGTCATTTTTTAGTTTTCTTTTTTTCTTAAGTCTAATGTCTAATTTTAAAAAGCATAAAAATTCAATAAGATATATGAATATTGCTATGTTGGAGGACAAGCTCATTGACTACCAATGCAAATTAGTTCATTAGCAGTATGCTAAAATTCGATTAATTACAACTGTCCCACCTTAATAAACTATTACTTTGCATCTGACTCCTAAAAGCTACAGCCTCTAATTAGGTCTAATACCACAGCTCACAAACAACACTGCAGGGGATGAAATAAGCAGCCTTCTGTTCCTGTACAGTAACATGTTATGGTGGGTGGCAAAACTTAAAACAAAGTTAAGAAGTTTGGGATCCCTGTTCGCTGTGTTTCTACACAGTACTTTGCAAAAGTGGTAATACCCCTTTAACTTCAAATGTAAGTGTATTTTATTGGTCATGTATGAGATACTGTAGACCTAGAAAATTTTTATTTTTTCTGACACTTTTTATGTTTTTGTACGGTGACCTTGAGTGTCCAGAAAGGCGCCTTTTTAAATAAAATGTATTATTATTATTATTAATATTAAAATGTAGCACATGATTTTGAAGTGGAAGAAAAACGGAAATACATTTTTCCTTGTTAAAATCTGAACAATCTAGCAAGGTGTGTTCAGCTCCTTGAAACAATTGTGTAGAACCATCTTCTTCAACAATAGTGATTTGGGGGATGTTTACAGCTTTTCACACCTAGAGATTAAAATTTCTCCTCATGAAGACCTAAAAATATAAAATTTCGGGTCCTGCAGCACATATTCAATTGGCTTTTTCCATTTTGTTCAAACCATCTTATTTTAACAATACCTATTTGTTCAGGCTTTTTGACCTTCTAGAAAGCATCCTCACAATCTCTCCATTCTTAATTCATTGTAAGCTTCTATCCTGGTCTAAAAAAGCCTTTCTACAGCATGATACTATCAACAACATTTCTATGGTGATGGCATGAACAGACTGATGCACCCAGCATGTAGGAAGGAGGAGAACAAGTATTTTATAACTGCTGGTTTTGTAGGTTTTTCCCTCTGTAAACCATAGAGAAGTCTTTGATTTTTCATCATACACTTATCTTTTTTTTCTAGATTTTATCACTGACTGTTGAAGAACATCTGTACCCTTTATTTTGATTGACAGAATTTAGAAAGAGAAATTCCGAAAACCAAATTATGTGACTTTTTAAAATACTTAATAAGCATTTCATTGTTTGACATAAGTATTTGATCACCTACCAATCAGAAGTATTATTCATTCTGTTGCCAAGTTATTTAAATTTTGAGGGTCAAATTTTGCAAAATCGTTGTCTCTTATGTAAGAAAATGCCCAAGCATGTTCTATACATTTACGTGTTCATTACATGTGTATTTAGATGCGCTTTTACAATTAATCTGTTGAATAGATTTTGTTGCCCTGTTTCTCTGTAATCAATTGTCCTATTGTTAGCACATTATAAATAGCACATTATAAATAATTATTCTAGACAATCAAAAATCTGAAAACAGAACAGCAACTTTGCTAAAAAAAAAATCTGTCCATTTTAATTTTTTTCAAGATTTAAGAGAAGAAGCACTTTGAATCACAGCGACAGATGAACAGAAAAGTGTTACATCTTAAAAAAAAAATACATCTTAGAAACCAACTGGTTTTAAGGCTGAACAGACTGTCAAGACTTTATGTTTTTTTATAGCTATAGTTTATTCACCTCTTCATTACAGCAGATGTTCAAAACAAAACTTTAAACCTCCTTGGTTATAGCAGACTTTTGAAAAAGAATAAGCTAATCTTATCGTGTGTTTACTTATCTCTTCTCTGCACTGCAGGTGTTCCCCGAGTCACTGTGAACATGAAGGAACATGCACTCAGTCGTGGAGCACCTTCCACTGTAACTGCTCTAAGAGTGGCTACAGAGGAGCCACCTGCCACAGCTGTAAGTATGGCATCAAAACAAATACAGAAAAGGTCTTATGCACTGTTAGAAATTCACTTAACTACACTTGATTATGTTATGATATAACATAAAATGATAGTTTAAAGTAAGAATTCTTAAAATTTAATATTATCTGGTAACCCTGTAAAAATTACATATTCCCTCACAAGTGTGCAAAATCTGCCTGCTTTATTTAGAAAAACACTTTAAAACCTGTAGATAATCCATCCATTTTCTCCCGCTTATTCCATCAAGGTCACTGTAGGGCAGATACTGTACCTATATCCAGCAGGCTATGGGCAAGCGGCAGGATGGATGGATGGACGGATGGATGGATGGATGGATGGATGGATGGATGGATGGATGGATGGATGGATGGATGGATGGATGGATGGACTTTTTGCAGAGAACATTTGGCTAAAGATTTTAGTCTCTAGATGTGCAAATTTTGTAGATATTCATATATATATATATATATATATATATATATATATATATATATATATATATATATAGATAGATAGATAGATAGATAGATAGATAGATAGATAGATAGATAGATAGATAGATAGATAGATAGATAGATAGATAGCTGACCATTTAGTCTGTGTTTGAGTTTGAGGTCTTTGCATTTTTTCATAGTTCATGTTCCCATTCTCGGAGGCCAGTCGTTAGAGAGGGTTTTTTGTCTTGTCTTGGTGTTTCCTGATCATGTCTTGAGCGAGCCCTGATCCTGCTTTGGCTCAGTGGAGGGAGCTAGTTGAAAGTCCTGTAGTTTTCCTGATGTTACGTCTTGTTCTGCCTCTTAACTACTGAGCTCACCTGTTTTCCATCTGAACTTTTCTGCCTGAACTCACTGTTGAACTCATCGAACTCTGAACGCTCAGACAGGTTCAGGTCCTGGTACCCTGGATCTGTCTGTTCCTGTTTTCTGATCGGAACCCCTGACCGGGTTACTAACACCTGGATCTCAGAACCGTCCTGTTCTGAACTGTTTCTCTGACCTGGCTCGGACTTCTGTCTGTTCATGGAGTTAAACCAGATTGCCTGTGAAAGGTGTTGCCTGGAATTGCCAGGATTCAGGAAATGTAACCCTTATTTGTGTGTGATTTACAGTTTCCCTACAGTTTGGCCTAGACTACCTAGCTGTCCAAACTCCATCAATAGAAATCCAATGGGGGAGTTTAAAAAAAATCACAGACGAAAATTTAAAACAACACATTTTCGTATTGCTGCCTTTTCTCAACCATTTAATGTACAAACATGAAACTTGGTATAGAATATCTTCAGACCCTTCTAGCACTGATATTGAAAGATTTTTTTTAATATTATTTATAGTTTAGCTGTTTAGCTAGCTTGTTCAGAAACACATGAAAATGTTGATTCTGAGAAAAAGCCTCAGAAATCTTTCCACATTTTTACATTGTCACCGTGGCAACATTGTTTTTGGTAGAAACATAAAAGTTTTAATATTTGTTCATCAAAGCCTGATGATTTCTATGGCCTAAACATTATTTCTGTATCTATTATGGTTTTTGATTTATTAAACATAGTTTGACACAAACTTTTATCCATTATCCATGAATTAAGTGGCGCAACAAAGAAATTGATATGAGTTAAGCCACAGTTATAGGCATTTGTTCGGCACATGATTGTACATGCGATAAAGACAGTGGCTAAACAACACATCGCTGCCTCTCACACACCGTTTGATGTACAAACATGAAACTTGGCACAGATCATTTTCACACATGTCTAATGCTCATATTGAATGAATTTTTTATACATCATTTTTGGTTTAGCCATGCATGTTGTTCTGGGGCCTCAAAACAGTCAATTTTCAAGCTAAAACCTTTAAAAATTCTCCTTTTTTACATCGTCACCATGGCCACATACTTTTTTGTAGATACCTGAAACTTGGCACAGTTGTTCAATGGCAACTGATTCCTGTGATCTATAAAGGTTTCTGTATATTGTTAAGTTTTTGATGTATTGATGATAGTTCAACACAAAGTTTTACACATCCTTTACATTTTGCTAATTTTTCTCTTGCTTTTACAAAGGACTGTCTATATATATAAAAAAAAAGTTCAGTTCAACTTTTGTCAACTTCCAAGTAAACGGATACTTTTTGATTTTTTTTCTGGTTCATCAAACTTCAGGAAATGTTCTGCTTTTAAGATGAGTGTGCTTCTGCCATAATTCTGCTAAATGATTCTGCCCTACAAAATTTTTCGATGATTCAACTGTTTCTGCAGTTTGAAGTTTCTGATTACTTCATATTGCATTTTCATATATTCTCCAGACTATGTTTCTTTTTTCCCCCTTTATTCTGTTTCTTTAGCTATTTTTTCTTCCTTCACTCAGCAGAAAAAGGCATTCCAACATGCTGTTTCTCTGAAACAGCTTTTTCTAGTTACATATATGAGTGACAAAATGTGGAAAAGTTTAACCTTTGCAGGGCACTGTCTGACATTTATAAGGTTTTAATTTCCATGTTTTTGTATTCTGTTTATAATCTGAAATTATTTTCAATTTAAAGCACATTATAACGAGAATATATACTAAATTGCAATAAAATCTTTTTTTTTCTCCACTTTTTCAATCTTAATTTTACTTTAAAATATACTAAACAACTATGGGGAATAAAAAAATCTCGCTTGTATATTATACAATGTACAGAAATAGGCTTACTATTCCAGCCATGTTTTTATTGAAATTAGCCAGATTGTCTCTCAACAGTCAATATCCTCATGTATTTTTTCTTATGCCATTTAGAAACCAAAACAGGCTCAGGATCATTCGGGAATAGACCAGACAGATTGCTGATACGTCATTAAGCTTTGTAAATTACAATCCTGTTTGATTTAAAAGTCTCATAGATTTTTTTATGTTGGTGTTGTTGTCATCTGTAGATAGTCAAATTTGTGTTGTTGCTTTATATAAGTAATATTCTGCTTAATGCCACAAAAGAGTTTTTAACTGAAGAGTGCTTTAGAGTTTTATTTAGAACTGTATTTGTGGTTTTAGGGTAAATTGGGAAATGTAGTACTATCAAATAAGCTTTTGGAAACCTACTTATATTTACTGAAAGTGATACATTACCTGCAGGTCTTCAGAGACTTTTAGATAAATTTGCCCCAAATTTCATATGCTCATTCTTAGCAGAATAGCATCCTTGGTAATACATAATGCAGAAATAAAATGTCACCTTTCCACTGGGGGATAGCGGAAGAGAGAACAAAGGGTCGGCATCCTGCTGTAGATGAAAGTCATAATTTTCTCCCACTTCTCTCTTCAAAGTGCCCTGTAAAACACTGTGTCAATTCACAGCTCTTAAATCCTTCTTCCTTTTCATCATGCTTAATATCTTTAACTGAAGTACCGAAGGCTTTCAAGTGCTAAAAATATCCTGAAATGGTTTGCTTAATTGAAAGAACAGGAACAATCAAACTTTTCTAATATCTTTAGTTACACTATTGTTCTTTTGATATGGCTGAAGACCTGAATAGCCAACCAGAGACAGAATACAAAGATCAAAGTGTGGTGTTACCAGAAGTTATTATAATCCAATGGAACAAGTAGGGAAATGGTTTAACTGTATCTGAAAAGCATGAAAAGACATACACACACTGCTAAGATCAGAGGAGAATAGAATTAAATGTTTATTTGTTGAAAATAAATAATCACAATGAAGTGGTCCCTTAGTAAAGAAATTAAGACTGTATAATTAGGGCAAGTTTAAAAGAAAAAAAAATACTGTATAGTTATTAAAAAGGGCTCTCAGTTTTAAAACAATATACAACTTACAATTTATAAAGTGAAAAATACACAGCAGAGGATCATGCTGTTTTTTTTTAGGCTTTTGCACATGGAAAAGTACAATTCAAGTGTACTTTTATCGGTCCTAAAGCCACATCGAACTAGGCTGAGAACCTGAATTTAATTGAAACAGTTCTGGTCGTAGGTTACCAAATACCTCATAGAAATTTGATTTTTTTTTTAAACAATAATTTGTTGAAAACTTGACCCCATTTGGGATTTTGTCAAATTCACACAGGGTCAAATGAAAAAGACATGTCAATAAGCAACTGGCAAAGAAACGCTGATGGTTTGGCCACTCCTCTTGGCAGAACTAATAGAGTAAAGTCAATGTGATTAGTTTACTGCTTTTGACCTGGTTTTTCATAATTGTCCACACACATTTAAACGATGTGAATTTCCAGAACAAAGGAAAATAATATTTCTCTATTCTAAAATTAAGGTGAATAAATTGCTTCTATTTAAATTGCAATACTAGACAAAGTTTTAGCTATAGGGTCACACTGATGATAAATGCTAAATTCTCCTTTCTTAATGCAATTTGCCTGAATAGAAAAAAAAAATTCTTTGGCTAAGTTTGCCTACACAAGCAAGAAATTTGCATTCTATTCCCATCACTCATATTAAGGCAACATTAGCTAAATATGTACTTACTTGAGGAAATAATAAAGGATAAAGAAGACGCGTGTCTGCTTAAAGACTGACTTCTTTCTTGATATACAGAGAAACAGGCAACACTCTTGTGTTTGTGCAGTATGCCTAATTTGTTGCACAGCCAGAGTAGATGACTACTCTGGCTGTGAGGTGTTCCTTGTGTTCATCAAAGAAACAGCCTGGGGAAAGAAAGTGCTCTTGTGGCAGCTTGTTTTTGCAAATGACACTTTATAGCTCTGACCTGAAAGTAAGAGACTAAGCTGTAAGTGCTGATGTGTGGGTAAGCAGAGATGCTCAAGATTTTCTAGACCCTGATCCTGTGTGAGGCTTCTCACATTAAAGATAAACATTAATATTGCTTTACTCCTCCACCTGAAGGTAGCAGAACAAATCCTCCCCATGGTAAATGCCCCTCAGCCTTTAACATAAATCTGCCAAAAGTTTCTGCCATTCCACACTTTCAGGTCTGTGAATATGAGTAGTTTGTTGCATATATAATTTTGTTGCTCCGTACTTGTGACAGTGTAATGACAATAAAAATAAAATGTACATCATCTTTCAAGTCATCCCACAGTATCTGAGCTTTTACTCTTGCAAGTGCTATCTTTATTTTCATGTATTCCTCATCTCCTTCTGAGACATGATTTAATTCTGGGTTCTATGACAGTAAGTTGCTGCAGCAAAGATTACCACATTGAGACTCATGCTTCACAGTTGCTATGAGTTTGTTTTTGTGCCCACAACGATTTTAGCAAACTAAAAAGTTGCTTTCTGGAGACTGGACATCTTGTTAAATCTCATGGTTTTCACTCCCACCTGCATCAGCACACCAAACTTAAATTCTGATGTTTCAACTCGACAAATATCCTTCAAAATACAGACTTATTATGTACCAAACATTTGGATCTGACAAAATATCCACGGCTGTAATTTCAGCCAATCCAAATAGAAAGAAAGGATTGCTGTCCAATAGGACAAAACTGTAATATTTTTGGAGAACAGAAGGTATGCTTCGCATAAACCAAAGAATCTCATACCAACTGTGAATACTAACTGTCAAAGTTAGTGTTGTTGTCCAACAGGACAACAATAAAAATACGCATCAACTCAGCTTTTTAAACAAACAAAGAGGATTGATAGAACTTTTTGATTGCTTTACACTCTTCCCTATTTACTGTATGCCAAAAAATACACTTACAATGCCTCTATGATAAGTGGTGAAATATCCAGCCAGAATTAAACCCCTGGCCCTCTCAAATGTCTTTTTCCCCCTTGTAACTACTACTGAGGAAATTGTAGTTTCATTATACTCATAACATTCTGTTATATTTCTTCCGTAGCAAACTATGAGCAATCATGTGAGATCTACAAACATAAAGGCAACACGTCGGGGCAGTATTACATAGATGTGGATGGCAGTGGACCGGTTAAGCCCCAACTCGTTTACTGTAACATGACAGGTAAAAAAAAAGAAAGAAAAAAAACATTAAACTTTTCTCTTTAAAACTCCAAATGTCTGTCAGTCTGGAAATTTATTTATTTATTTATTTGCTTCCTCTTCACTAGAGAACCAGACATGGATTATCATACATCATAATAACACAGACTTAACCACAGTTCATTCCTCCCCTGAAACAAACCAACATTTTGCCAACTTTCACTACACATCGGAAGAGAAGCAGCTATCGGCCGTCATCAGTCAGTCAGAGCACTGTGAACAGGAGCTATTGTATCATTGCAGGAGATCCCGTCTCTTCAACACTCTGGGTAAGCTGAGGCAAGGGAAAAGAAAACCCCAAAGTAACTTTGACATTTAATATTTAACTTAGAAAATCTGAGTTTGCTATATTTAACAGTAACTGTGTTAAATTGGCTTTTTTTACTTGGTATGTTAGGAGAGGAAATGCCATGAAAATGTCTTAAGGCAAATTCTTTGCAAAGTAAGCCTTTCAATATCTCAGGATCTGTATAAGAAACCAGGGCAAAGTAGTGTGAACTGCTGATTTAGTCTGTTAAGTTGCTATTTAAAACAATCAAATTTCCCTTGTGCATAATCTCCACCACTTTACAGAACTTCATTGTTCATTAAATCTTCGCCTTTTATTCTTTCATCAAATAAGGACTTAAATACACAGCTCAAGGGTGTTTAAAGGAATTAAAAAGTAGCAAATCTTGTGAACTTCTTATATAGTCAAATGCCCTCTTATCAGCATGTGCATGTAGGGAAGATAAGTCTTAAGAGCTCAGCCACTTATTTCCTATTCAGTTTAATCTGAAATGTAACAGTGATACTCGTTTAAGGCTGGGTAGGTGCTGATGTAATATATTTTGTGGAAATCTCAACGGTTTGCATTTGTTGTCACACAAGAAACCTGATTTAAAGTAGCTTGTTTGACAAATGTGTCTTGGTTGTAACGGCGAGGTTGATTTGCTCCATCTGTTAATTACAAGACAAGTAAAAGATACTATAATAAAAATTTGGTGTTGGAGATATTTTACATCCTTATGTTCACAACCTTTACTATCTTTTTTACACAGCAATGGCTCAAAGCTGATACCAAAAAGATGTCTGTGTCTTTTTAGCTGTTCATAAAAAAATCTGTGTATATATATCTTTTTATGGTTTTACATTAAACACGCTGAAATGGTAAAAGGAAGCCGGATGACAACAGCTTCTTTGGAGAGAGCAGCTTGTTGCATCAGACTGGGCTATTTTCCAGATGGCAGTTTGTTACTTAGACTTCAGCAATATCTTCTTAACATATTTATTCTCAGCATATCGGCTTTGATTTTCCCATTCATCTTTTGTACTTAGAATCCTTTTCTGTAACAATGTCACATCCTTTCTGCATCTTAAAGGGATTTGTTTACCATCCTATCCATGTTTCTTAATGAAATGTAAATTCCTTATTTTTTTACAGGTGAAACAGTGATTTGCTTTTTGTTTGTATTTAAGATGGTGCTCCCTTAAGCTGGTGGGTGGGTGGCCCAGCCTCGGGTGAGATCCAGAACTACTGGGGTGGAGCTTTGCCTGGGAGCCGGCAATGCATGTGTGGTCTGAAGGATAACTGCCTCGATTCAAGTTTCTACTGCAACTGCGATGCTGATTACAACCTATGGTGCGGTAAATCATTGCACAACTATCTCTCTCAATGTTTAATCTAAAGCTCTGTCTAAAGGTTACCTAGTGCAACTGTGTTTTTTAAAGAAATTATTATATTTTATATATCCTATATCATGCTTTTTCAGTCAACTATAGGCATATAACTAATGAAATATTCCTTTTGGCTCTACAGAGAATTTATTTGTTATGAAATATTATATATTTCCCTCCAACCAGAAGAAAGATCTTGGCAACGGCTCATTGTGTGGGTGCCAGTGGCACCCATCTATTGACATAGCTGTATTACCCTACTTCTGGCATTTAGGTGGAAAAACACCTTTCTTTTACTTAGACAGTAGCTAAAGTCATTGTCATTGTGCAGATTAGCTGCTAGAAGAGCCACTTCAATTTTAAGCAGAAATTGTCACGCTCTGCCTCACATCACTGCTCACAGATTTGAAAAAGTGGGCATGTTTTTTACGGGGCAGGTGCAGCAAAGTTAGGGTAGGTGCTTCCTGGAGAGGGTGGTTTAACCCTTTCCTCTGCAGGATGGAAATGTTTGCTGGTTTTTCCGGGGTCATCCGCAAAGGGCTGATCCTTACAGAGCATAATTCATGAGAATTATTATTCAGATGAAGAAGGCTTATTTAAACAAACTGTAGGTGTGTGTCTCTGTGGTACGTCGTTGTTCAAAGCAGGCATGTCCTTAATGAGTGAAATTCTTGGTTTGAGTACTGGTCTGGTGATCTTTGCTGCAAATCCTCTCCCACCTTTCAAAAAAAAAAAAAAGGCCACTACAGCTCAAGAGATATGTTAATCATCTGAGATGAATGATACTTTATCATATTTTTTTGTAAATAAAATAAAATGTGCGATGCAGTACATTTCGAAACGTTACCTAAGTTGGGGGAGTGTTGGCCAGTGGGTTAGAGCACTGTACTTGTGTTATGAGAGCTGCAAGTACAGGGTTAAAAAAAAACCTTAACCCCACGCTGCTCCCCGGGTGCCATACAATGGTGGCCGACTGCTCCCCAAGGGGATGGGTTAAATGCAACTGTACATTTCTCCAATGTGAGTTCAATTATTATTATTAAATGTAACTGAGTAAATCAGACAAAAAAAAAAAAAAACAATAATAGAGGATTGCTATTTCTCTTTCCTACAAAATATATTAGCAACCCTCTGTTTCTTCTTGAATTCATTTGTGGATTTGAAGCATTTTCTATTCCTGGAACGAGACAATTGACAATTCCCTAGAGATCTATTTATCAATTTTATTCGTCTTTTATTTTCTTTTACTGAGACTTTAGTACAGTTTTTTTTTACTCACTGCAGCTCTGTTTTCCAGCCTGACATATATACAGAAACCATTCCAAGTTTTTCAGAGATCGTTTTCTATTCCTGCAACAATCACACCACAGATTATCTCCTTCTGACAAAAGCTGCTTCATTTTACTACTGCCAGTATCCCGTCAGATGTACCAGTGCCATGCAGTCCTTCGTATTTATGTGTTATGTTTTGTAGCAACACTCAAGATTATGTCGTGCAGGGCATACTTCCACAAAGCATGAGATATTGTCAGCTCAAATAAACTTTTTATTTCTGTCTACACATCCTCCAAAACAAATGACTCCATAAAAAAAAAGTAGGAAAAGATATATATATATATATTTATTTATTTTGCCTTATTTACAAACATGGTGCTTATTTTTTTGATTACTTCTTCCAACTCAGGACAAATGACTCAGGCCTCCTCACCCATAAGGAGAACCTACCAGTCAGGTCATTGGTGCTGGGTGACATCCACCGTCCTGGTTCAGAAGCTGCCTATAGGGTGGGACCTCTCCGCTGTCATGGAGACCGTAGGTCCATTTCAGTATGTCGCTGTTTTTCACAGAGCTGGTATCAAATATGAGACATGTTTCTATCTGAAAATAAATGTACCCAGGTTGGTGAACCTGAAGAGGAATACTCTGATACTAATGTACAATGACTCAAATTAAACTAATCCCTCTGTCCAGACCTTATCTTGTATTTAATTTAATTTAAATTTGCAGTTGCGAATTATAGAAGCTATTTTTTTAGAAATCGGGAATATGTCTCCCCTCTACTGTTTAACAATAGTTATTAATAGAACATTTTATATGAAGGAAACCAGATGATATTATATTTTAGTTCTGATGACAGATTATAATTTCACCATTAGATTTAATGAGTTAGTAAATAAATGCCCAAAGATAAATCAACACAAATGAGATAACATGGCTGCTGTTGTGCCTTTTTTCCTCACCTAATTAGCTGAACAGTTGGTTCATTTGTTTACTACATGGTTTCCATTATACAGCCCCTCATAATGAGTTTTCTCTTTAATGAGCTTTGTTCCAAAGTGATATATGCTACATGGGTCTAAATAAGTTTTGTAGCTCTTTTTCTTCATGGAAAACAAAAAAACATTTCAGCTGTATTTCTGTCTTATAGAAAACTTCTGGAATGCTGCATTTTTCGAAGAGGAGACATCCTATCTTCACTTCCCTACCTTTCAAGAAGAGCTAAATGCAGACATCTCTTTTCTGTTTAAAACAACGTCCTCCTCTGGGCTCTTTCTTGAAAATCTGGGCATCAAGGACTTCATACGAATAGAACTCAGCTGTAAGTGACAACTCAACAATATTTTGCCTCCTTGTTGTAAAAAGGATTTATGTCCTTTTTCCCTGTGAATTGAGACTGTTACTGAGGTAGTTATTCTTAAACTCAACCCTGCAGAGAATTCACATGAATGTGTTTTTTTAAATCCTGAACTGCAGAGGAGGAAAGGTTCTATTTGCTTTCTTATTTTTTTCCAGTTAAAGAACAACATCCTTAGTACAACATGAACAAAGAAAAAAATCAGACAGTATCAAAAAGATTACCTCAGCAACAGACACATTTCTATTTGCCTCATTTTGCTACTGTTTAAAATTATAAACTACATAATCTTTTTTTTATAGAGCCATTCCCATATCAATGCATTTTTCTGCATTAGAAATGCTCTATATATGGCACCCTATGTATTGAGTATGCTACAGCCATGAATGGTTGATATAGAGACGTAGCGTATAGTGCAATGTCCATGCCTTGAAATGTGGTTTCGTATTCCCTATAGCTGTTAATTCCCTTTACATTTTTGACTCTGCTATTTGCTTATCACATTCTTTGCTTCGTGTTAGACTAAGGTTATACTCATGACTGAATTATGCACAGATGTCATAGATGATATATTGGGTCATGAACGGTGCAGGAGTTTCCTCTGTTGGGGACCCATACCGTTGATGCAGTGCTATTATACTGATCTGTGCCAACAACCCTCTACTCCCAACCCCATGTTTTCCTCCATCATTTATCCATCTACATTGTTTTTGTAATGTATTAGATAGCAATGATCTCTGAAAAAAATTACTTTGTCCTTTCTCCTTATTCGGATCACAATGCTCTTGATAACTCCCAAAACATATTTTTCATTTGTTTTATATTCTTGTCATCATTTCACAGTTTTTATCAGAACAACTGCAAATGTTCAGGTGTATATACCTAAATTATAGCCCGCTGTATTTCTCTGCCTAATTGTTTTTCAAATAACCTCTTCTCATTCATTATATTTATCTAATTTTTGATCGGTAATGTACCATGCAAACAATTTTAGTCAGTTATGAACACTTTCATTTGTATGCACTATAACATATAAAGTCATCAACTATGAGCTATTCCGTGATTCAATTAAAAATATACGCCTCTATGCGTTGGTGTCTTGTTACCTGTTCACCATATAAACATACTTATTTTCACCTCCCCCTCAATTAAAAGGAGCCTCAATGGGGAATCAAAGTTGACCTGACTTAGGACCTAACTTATCAGGAACTTATCTCTAAGCCTATCAACATATTTGACGTGTTCCAGATGACCGCTGAAAGTTCTTAAAGGCACACTATGCAACATTTTTCAGTTAATTAATGTGTTCCAAAACGTTTTGGATGATTAAATTAGTAATTTCAGGTTGAACAAAGGTATTCTCGGCCGACCTGGTGGTCTGTGGGGGAAATACCGCACTTGCAACTGCAGGAGCACCGACCCGCACCCACAGACTCAGAAGTCTCGCGAGAGTCAGTCTTGCTTTACGGCGAGAACTGCTACACGCCCCCAGTTAAAAGCATGCTCGTTGCTAGCACAGTGGCGATCTTTGTGCAGTTATGCTGCTTTCACATCGGACGCAGCAAAATCGCGTCTGCTGCTTCATTTTTGCTGCTTGTACCAGTTAGTTCTGACGCGGCTGAAGCAGCTTTGCTGCTCTGGCTGCGCGGTGCAAAAGTGTGTCTGACGCGCGTTGGGCGGAGCTTCACTATCCTTTCTCTGCCTTGCAGCTATATTTGCTGTGATCAGTGGGAATAAAGTAGTTTTAATATGTGTTTAAGTGAGAAAATACACCTGAAAACGTAATCAGTGCAGTCAGTTCATTCAGATTATTATCCTGCCTTCAATATTTTTTCTGTCGGCGCCGCTCAGACCCCCACATACCAGCGGTGCGCCTAGGAATCCCTTCATCAGCAGCCTCTGGCCGGGTCGCCTCCTCGCAGTTCACCGCGGCAGCTGGTAGGTGTTTTTCATCTAAATAATCCAAACTGCATATTCTGCCGGCAGATTTCTGCATTTTAAGTTAATTTAGGCGTCAAATAACTGTTTAAGAGGAGTGATCATAGCCTCTGATCATCAGCGCTGTGTCTCTCTCCCTGCTTCAGCTGCTCAGACGCGCTGCGCCTGCTGCTCAAAACGCGCCGCGGGACCTTTTGCTGCGCCTTGACGCGCGTCAACCATTGACTTTGCATGTAAACTCGCTGCTTCTGTCGCGCCAGCTGCGTCCGGTATGAACGCAGCATTAGTCATTCGTTGCGTTCGCCTGTCTGCTAAGCTCAAAACAACCGCGCCTGGCTTGACGGAGAAACCAGGAGAACAGCTGAGCATATTTACGACAGTGCACTTTTACTTTCGCCCTCTGGGGGGAGCCTCGCTGGAAAATCAACACCGGTTGCATAGTGTACCTTTAATGTACAGCTACTGTATAATGGCGTATTGCAGTGTTTTGGTACGAAAGAGGGTTCATAGGAGCATAGGCGGATCTACTGGGGTGGCATAGGGTGGGAAATGCCACCCTAAATAACAGCCTTGCCACCCCTGCTGCCACCCCAGTTGGCGGTAGGGATGGTGAGGCTTATAAATTATGGATCATTTAAGAATTACCGACCGCTAATTTCCAATGTCGGACTGCAGTGAATGCAGCACGAGATGACGCGAGAGCGACTGAGACTGATTGTTTTGAAAAGCGAATGGGGCAAAGCGAGGGAGCCAGGGGTCATGGGGAGAGGAGACACAGGATGAAACAGGTAAAAACTGATTAACTATCTATCAAGAAATTAAATCATAATGAAAGCACAGTGTTGCTTGCATAGCTGCAATGCTGATTTTGAGATGATAAAAATCAGGTTGCAGAACGTTATTTCTCTATCTATGATGTTAGTTAGGCCTGACATTTCAGGCTCATAAAGACATATTTGCGGTCAACTATGACAGAAAAGAGACGATCAAGTTTGGTTGTACTCAAATCAAAACGCACAAAGGCATTGGATCTAAATAAAGCTGTGAAGCGTTTTGCTGAGCAACATGGAAATCACTGCATTCAGCTTTTATAGTCATGTTAACTTTATGTTATGCTCTCTGGTGAGCCTTTACAGAGATGTTACATTTTGTTTTGGCACCTGAGAAAATCGGATATTTCCTTTAATAAAACCAAAAGTGTTAAAAGTTAAAAATGTGATACTGGAGTAAATCCTGCTTAATATGAAGCAGTGTTGTTGTTTCTTTTTTTTGTATATATAATATGAAACTATCCAGAAATGACCTGTATCAAAAAAAAAGTCAAAAAGCCTTTATTGTCATTATATTCTGCAACATAATGACAATAAAGGCTGTTTGACTTTTTTTTTTTTTTTTTGATACAGGTCATTTCTGGATAGTTTCATATTATATATACAAAAAAAAAGAAACAACAACACTGCTTCATTAACCCACTCACAAGCAAAATGTATTTTTATGTTGCTTCTTTTCAGATTTGTGGAGATTTTGATGTAACATACAGTACCTGCCTTTTGTTGATTTGTTGATACAGCAGTATGGAGGACCAACTCTGCCATATTTAAAAATAAATACAGAAATAAATAAATGCTTAATAAATAAATGAGCATACAATTAATTGCCACCAAAAATACAAACAACAAATAAATGTAAGTAGAAATTAAATTATACAGCTAGTCATAAAGGTATATAACTCTTTTAATTGGCTTCTTTATTTCTTTGCCTTTTTAATATTTACCTTATTTATTTTTTTGTCATTTATTATCTTCAACTTCATTTTTTAATTACTTATATTTTTAAGTATTTATTCATGTGGCTGTTATCATATTTTTGTCTGTTTTATTCTTCCTTTGTATTTTTTTACCCTAGTTATTTCTTCGCCACTATTTCTTTCTGCCTGCCCTTTTAACATTTCTGCCTGCCATTATAATATAATTTCTAATTACATTTATTTGTTGATTGTATTTTTGGTGGCAATTAATTGTATGCTTATTTATTTATTGAGCATTTCTTTATTTCTGTATTTATTTTTAAATATGGCAGAGTTGGTCCTCCATATACAGCTCTATCTACAGCATATTTACATGCATGAAATGTCCCTTTCATGTTGCCGTAACTGCTGTATGTCAAGTTACTGAGGAACAAATGGGGTAAATGTGTGTTCAGAGTAAACATTACATAGATGTCCAGTACCTTGTTTGGTGCCTTGACCCATTTATTTCTACTGTGTAGTTATGCTCACTTTAGTGCAGCTCAGTTCATAGATCTCTGATGGGTAAGTTTTTCTTTCTATAGTTTCTTCTTGTGCAAATGCTGCAAAGCTGCCTCTCTGACAGTCAATCTCACACATCTGCACCTCAGCACCTGTGTCTTATCTTAATACCTTTCCTGTCATAAGGCCCCTCTAGAAGTAGTGTTATCATTCTTCTATCTCCTATTAAGTGAGATCACATTGTACGATGTATTATTAATATGAACTGTTTCACATGTAACACTAGTACTGTACATACTATTCTCACCAAACTGTGATAACTGTGATTAAATTCAGTGTAAACAAATCCCATATGTTGCCACCCCTAAAAAAATCCTGCCCCCCTCTTGCCACCCCATAAATATTTTTCTAGATCCGCCCCTGCATAGGCGGAAACCATTAGTGCTCCTCCAGACTTCATCCCCATCATAGGGTGAATGTGAAGGCGTGTGATGGATCCTCGACCAACAATCTTCCTAGCAGACATGACACTAAATCTGCTATGACTAGAAATCTTCCTTCCTTCCTTCCTTCCTTCCTTCCTTCCTTCCTTCCTTCCTTCCTTCCTTCCTTCCTTCCTTCCTTCCTTCCTTCCTTCCTTCCTTCCTTCCTTCCTTCCTTCCTTCCTTCCTTGGTGGCCGTTAAACAGCATTTTTTTTTTTTTAGATTGGATTATATTACTTCTACCATAGCTCCCTATAGTAAGGGGAAGTTTTGTTGGACTTTTATGTGGTAGAATTATGATACAGAAAAATGCTTTGACTTTTGGCTCACCTCCCTTCCTCACAGTTTAGATTTTTATCTGTATGATACTTAGTGGACAAATATTATGTGAAATAATAAGTGAGGGATATATCTGTTAAAAAAAACAGGTCATTTTAACAAACACGTGATGATGGAAGGATGCAGTTTTTGTGGGACTTGTACTGCAGGAGTATGGAGCTAGGAGAGTTCCAATGTTAACAAATTCACATATGTGATCCCCACATACACAGGATAAGAGCCACCCATGCACAGGATAAGATCCACACACTCACATGATTATTCAAACAAGCACAAGATTTACAAATTCACAAGAGTCACAAAAGTGACCTTGACTAAAAAGGGGTTAATAGATGAAAACATTTTTGTATTTTTGAGTCTTCTGAAGTCTGGGGATTCTTGAGAATCATTTTCTATTTAAATAACCTATCAACCAGACTAGATGACGTTGGTTGGGGTTTGTAGTCCATACTTTTTTAAATACTCTTAGAGACAGAGTACTTGTTTTCTGTTAGGGCTTTACATTTAGCCACAAATTGTGGTGTTGCTAAAGTTAACTCAATGCTGCCACTGCTACCAATTTTTCATTTCAATGGGGGGATAGATTGTTACAAGTGACTTGTTGCAATCAACTCTGTTTTCATTAGAACTCTTTAACGACAGGAAAAATCCACTGAACTTGACCGTCGCGTCGTCTAAGAAGGATCAAACAAACAATGTATTGAACTTTTTATTTGTTTATATAATTTACTTGAAGCGGCTTTATACTGTATGTCTATAAATAAACCAGATCTATTTGTCATGTGAAGTGCCTTGAGACAAATGTTGGGAATTTAAGCTTTATACACAAGAAGAAATTATTTGAATTAAAACCTGGTTTAAACAACACACACAACTACTCCACACAGAAACATATGATTGGTAGTGTATTGTTGTGATTTTCCCTTTTTGCCTTAGACTTTGTTCAAAAGCATCACAAATCTGCGTCCAGCTGTCTGTCCATGCTGTAAGCAGATGGGTTTGTGAAGTAGTCAGTTCAACACTGTGCCAGCATATTATGTTGGAGCAACACAACTGACTAATTGGTTAAATAATGCACCATCTTGCCATCAAAAACATGTATATATTTATTTTTATTAAGTGTTCATTCTTATTACTTGTGAAGCTACTATGTGGGTAATATAAAGCTCTAATCCTTCAATGGGCTGTTAAAATTGTCATGTTTGGTGTAACGTGTCTAACCCACATGCAGAATACTCAGAGGCAGGAGAAAAATTCAAAGGTTTATTAAAGGATGAATGTACAGGTTTTAAGATCAGGTCCAGTGGGGAACTCGTCTGGTCACGAGTGGGTTCTGAAAAGGTACACAGATTTAACAGATCCAGGTAGGGACTGGACTGGTCACGAGTGGGTTCACTGCAGAGAAGGACAGAGGAGTTAGTGGAGGTCCGGGTATTTTGCAGGAAAGAGAGTGTGCAGGTCTGTACCTGTTCTGGAGTGGAGCGGAGCTGCTGAGGGAGGGAACCTTGAGGGTCCAGAGGCTGTCGGCAGGCTGAGGGCTAGGCGGAGGCAGAGCTTATAGAGTGCAAGCAGATCACTGATTTGAGTTTCCTTCCAGTAATCTTCTGAGAGCGGGCAGGCAGATCTTTGACAGGGACTGTTCTCCAGAGTTCTTCTGAGAACGGACAGGCAGATCACTGGCAGAGAAACTCTTCTGGGTTTCAGGTTTCAGGCAGGTTCTGTCTAGGAAGCAGAGAGGAGAAAACTGGTCAGATTCGGTTCTCAAGGAGTCAGAGTTTGAGACAGGCTGGTTGACTCAGGCTTGCTAACCGTTACTGGCAAACACTATGGCGCTGGAGAGAAGCCCTCCGCCTCCTTAAATACGGATCTCCTGATGAGCAGATGAGAGACAGGTGGTGCAATCAGCTCCGGCTCCGGGAGATCTCGTACGCCCTCTGGTGGAGAAAGTGGACAGACCTCCAGATCCCAACAAAAATATTTAACATAAATGATTAAAAATCACTTTTTAATATCCAACTGTGTGAAAAATAATTCTATATAGATCAATATATTCTACATATATTTCATACTTAAAGAAATGCAATTATTAAAAACTGAAATTTTCTTAAACAATTTTTGCAAACAAGTGCATCTTTCATTATCAGTCACTTTACTACATCATACTGATTTATATTTTATGTGCTTTGTTTTATACCCTTATCCTTTTATTTCTTTATTCTTTGCCAGCATCTACAGAAGTAATCTTTTCTTTTGATGTTGGGAACGGACCTCTGGAGGTTAAAGTGAGGACCAGCCTTCCTCTAAATGACAACCGATGGCATAGTGTGCAAGTTGAGCGAAACGTTAAAGAGGCATCGCTACAAGTTGATGACTTCCCTGCTGCCATACAAGAAGCTCCTTCTGATGGATTTATTCATCTACAGCTCAACAGCCAGTTATTTATAGGTAAGACACAAAAATAGCAGATTTTAAAGAAGTCTTTTATATGAGGACAGTTTGATTTTGAGAAAGCACAATAATACTCAATTTTAGATCGGGTAGAGCTAGTTTGGACTATTAAATCAAACACTTATAAGAGGAGAAAATACACACTATTGCAAATTTTGATAGCTGCTAATGTTTGGTTCACCTTATACAAGGTTTGTGTACTGTAGGAAAAATAAATAAAATTTGACTTCGAATTCGGATTTTTGGAAAAGTATTTTCTGTCCTCAACCCAGGGCTTTAGATGTGTGAAATTTGATTTTACCTGCAATCATGTGTGTTGACTCGATAAGGCCGAGCTTGAGGCTATTGGCTACAAACATTCTAGATAAGTATGGCATAAACAAATGATGAATAGACAAAAAGGTTCCATTTTGCCAACTGTTAAGTATGATAAAGAAGTTGAAATTTAATGAGCTGTTTTGTTTTTTTTAAAGCCCCGGGAAACTTGTGAGTGAGAATATTATCATGGATTCCTAAAAATGCCACAACATCATAAGGAAAAATCTGGTCTCTGTTGATATGGGCCATCACTGGTTCATTGAGGAAACTAGTCCCAAATATATAAAACCAAATAAAAACAAAAGCTAACTTCATGACACAAAATCTACATTCCTGCACAGCCATTTCAGGCAGAGAATTGAACTAAGCTAAGGTAAAGGGAGTAATACCAAGAGTCTAGATGATCTAGATCAGGGTTCTTTAACCCTGGTCCACAGGGCCCTTTCATGTTTTAGATATGCCTCCACTCAAGAACAAGTGATTCTAATGATTACATTACATCCTCAGCAGGCAACAAGTTTGGTGAAAGCCTATTAATCACCTTTTCATACCTATAGCACAGTGTGCTGCATCCTTTAGATGTTTCCCTGGCACAGCACCCCTAAATCTATTAAACAGTTCCTCTCAAGGCTAACACAAAATAGTTTAACACTTGCCCTTGAGGACTGGAGCTGGACACATAGACCCAAGGAGACAGACAAAGATCCCTTAGCCTTTTTGCACCAACCTTGTGGGGTGTTATATATTAATTCTTAAAGGCTATTTAACCTTGACCATAAATGATTAAGTAGAAAGAGACATCTGTCAGTCATATATACTCAGTGTCAGGAAGCTTGTGCATTTATACATAAAGTGAGGCGTAGTAAGGTTTTTGTGGTGGCACTGTGGTACAATGCAGCTTATGTGCAATCAGAAGAAGAAGTTATGGACGATGCGTGATTGTTTGAGCAGATTACCTCCATCAACAGTGGTGTCTTCTTTTCCTGATAATACAAAAAGATCTTCAGATGTTTTGCATGTCTAAAAACAGATGCAAAGCTGTTTGTACGCACAGAGCTTACATTCAAAGAAAGTGGAAAGGGCTTTTTATTTGCTATTCAGCAGACAGCATGTGAGAACCTTTTTTTGAGTGTCTCCATCAATATGCAGATCATATTCTAACGACCAAATGAATCGGTGGAAGACACGCAAATGTAAACACCATGTGCAACCTATTCCTTTCAAGGATGTATACAATATACAACCTATTCCTTTCAAGGAATAGGTTGTATATTGGTAACTTTCTCAGTAATTTCAAATTTCCCAACTTAAATTCATCAGAAAAAAAAAAAACATCTTTGGTTTTAAGCATTTATGTATGCATACAGAATGGCCATTTATAAACATGAATGTTGAATGAATTAAAAACAACACAGAATAATAATAAGCCTGGAATGAATCAGAGCTGACTCGCTGACAAAATTAAGCTGAAAATCCTCTTCCAACGCACTCAAAAGACGTATGTCATTCCTCTCTTGCAGACTCAACGTTTTGATTGGTGGGTTTATGGGATATTTGAATGGATGTGTGATAGTGGGGATTACAAAATCTGCCGCTTTCTGCGCCTGTGGTTTTTAACAAAGACTTGTTTCAATGTCCATTTTAGGAATTCCAGTTCTATTCATATAGAATTATTTTGTTATCCGTGTTTATGTAAAAACGTGATGCTGCGATAAATATCTTAATGTATTATTTAAGGACTGCACCGGATATCTTAGGTGTGCCAAGTTGTGATATCTCTGTGGATGAAATTGTGACCCCATTTACTTTACCTTAAATCAGCAGTCTCCAAACTGCAGCCCTTGACCATTGGGGGGCCCTGAACTGATTCTGTTTGTCATTTCTACAGCAGTGTATGACCAATCTTGTAATTTTGTATGGTTCTACCACAAACTTTTCTGTTTTTGACCTGCTGCATAAGGTTAAAGTTTTATTGCTACTAAAGCAAATATGTATTGTTCTTAAATATCACAGGTTCATCTAATATCACCATATTAGATGAACCTGTTTAGCAAAATGCAGAGGATTTGCCAGGTTGTTTATGGGTACATCTCACATATTTGACTCTACTGCTCCATTTGACATTGTTATTTCTTTGTTATGTAAATTGTTGCAAGATGATTTAAATTAATATTGAATACCCACTATGTTGCACATTCCTGTTGGAGCTATACTTAATTATACCTTCATAATATTATTTTTCATTAGTTTAGGCTCACTGTCTTTACCAAACAAACACGTGTGTTAATGTATATCCATTTGCAATTAATTAAGTGCGGGAGTTGGAGCTATAATTATCATTATCATATCAAACTTTCCAAGTTTCCAGCTGAAGAAATGAAAAAAACAATGCTTTTAAACATAAATGTCTACAAGCTTAAGGATTAGAAGAGATAATTAACCGCCGGAGCTTTGTTTTTATCATACCTTTTTAAGTTACCACATCTTCAGTTTACAGGATTAACTTTTAATAAATTTCAGTGGGGTTTAATAACCAATCACAAACTAGCAAAGGATTGTGAAATGTAAGAAAAAGAATACATATTTTTAAACAATGCACAATTTTGTAAAAAGTGTAGTTTTTCCATTGTAATTCATCAACTTCAGCCCTAATATTTTGAGGACCTTTACACTTTTATGTCTTTAAAATGCAATCACAACTAAAAAATAAGCTTTACAGCATAAAAAAGCACCCCTTGCAGAACACAAAGCAATGACTGATTTATTTTCAGCTGAGGGGTTCTACTTGATTAATTTTAGACTTTCTTAAAATATTTTTAAAGACATGAACAAATGTTTTTTTGCTATAACAACCAGTAAGTTCTAAGTTGTTTAACACAATTTTATTACATTTGAATTATGTGGCAGTCATGTCCAGTTGTCATGACCAAAAAAATGAGATCCTACTACGAACAGTTATTTCACAGGGAGCCCAGGCAGTTGTCTGGAGTGCTTCATAGAAAAATATATCTCCTATTAATATTTGGCTGTGTCTACCTGTACAGTGGCCTGCAAGGAAAACTCACGTGGAATCACGTGAGCCTTGTGCAAAATAAGATGCAATTAGATTTAGTCATTGTATGGGAAGGATATAAGCCGTCACTTTATGATTTAAATTTGATGTGCTTGCAGATTGTCTGTATGTGCCTAACACACAAGCAATGCTAGTTTTCCACCATTTTTTATGGTAGTTTCACAAGAATAGTATGTCCCGCGCCTTTTTTATGTACAGTATACTGTTAATCTTCCTGAGCAAAATAGGTCAAAATCAGCCAGATTGGATTGAAAGGGATTGTAAACAACAATTTTTCATGTCTTGCCACAGACTACTGGAATTACAGTGACTCTAAAACCACTTTTATAGAACAGCTGTAATTTTGGGACAAGTGGGTATTCAAAAAATGTATTGTTCATCAAAAATGTATTGCAATCAATTTATTTTAGAGGTTTCAAAGTAAAGGTTGCTAAACACATGCGTAACGATGCAAAACAAATGACATGAAATCATATAACCACCTGAGTTAAATTATTTTCACGGAATAAGCCAGTTATACATATTCTGTAGATGTTTATTTTTTTGTTTATGTGATTGTCTCTCTCCATCATTTTAAATGGCTTTTTAACTGATTTTTGTTGACTGGGCAGTTCACATATTAGCAGAAACATTTAAGCCATTAATAGTTCTAACTACAATTTCCTTCCTGCCCTGATAATCTAGCAGGATTCTAAATGCTGCAGATGGCACAGCCTGATAAAATTATTTTCTTACATCAGACAGGTTTTACTGATCCATGTGAAATAGATGTCTTTTATATGGCTCAGTAATGTCTGTGGTATTTTACTGGCGAAAGCCATACAGTAGTACCGTTGTTCTGCTGTTGTGGAAGATGCCAGGTAAATCCAGTTTAGCAGTGTTTTGTGTTATTTCTTAATCTACAGCTATTTTTTTCCTGCAGCTGTATTGTCAGAATAGGACTTTGACCTGATGTGTGCTCTCACCCTGAGTTGTTAGAAAGTCCAACTGTTTAAATGGGTGAAATTGTGTCATGAGGGATTTGGGTTCTGATAATAAGATTTTTGTCTCTCAGGCTTTTCAGATCCCTTATATTTATTTGAATCCCTCACAAAATGTCTCTTACTAGGGAACACTCTAATTTCTTTGTCATCTTAATGGAACATAAGTAGAACAGATTAGGAGTGCCTTTTAAATTTTATTTAATGTTTTCATTTTTTTAGGAAGTTTGAGCTGAACATTTCAGCGTTAATTCAAATAGGAAGCTGCCTAATGTGTGAACAAAACGGTAATGCACGGATTAGAGTGGACAGGTTGGATTACGAGGAGAAAAGTAATTTTGCCAAGTCTATCCTTTTGGTTGCATTGCTGAATATTGATTTTGTAGTTGAAGGATAATCAGGTTTCCTCTTATCCATTAGTGTGTAGAATTATAAATCAAACAGCAGATGGCCCATTAGTCAATTGGTCAACCAATAAAGGGCCGTTTTAATGCCAAGCAGGGTGTTTTTTAATTTCATGACTGGACAGAGTTTACCTGCACAACATACATTAGAGCAGAACAACACTGTGAATAACAGACATGTCAGAATGAAAGGAGGACAGTCAAAGAGTGCAAAAGATTCTGACAAAATTGAATGAAGGATACAGAGACAACAGAACTAGTGCAGCTACAGTGTTGTTCTTTTTTTTTTTATTCTTGGCAGGAGGCACAGCATCACGACAGAAAGGCTTTCTGGGCTGTATCCGCTCTCTGCAGCTAAACGGCGTCACACTGAATCTGGAGGAAAGGGCAAGGATCACACCTGGCGTCAGACCTGGATGCCCGGGGCATTGCAGCAGCTATGCTACACTCTGCCAAAACCAGGGACGTTGTATGGAAAAGGCCAACGGGTTCTCATGTGACTGCAGCCAGTCTGCCCACACTGGCGTCTTCTGTCACAAAGGTACCAGCTCACTGAAGCCTTTCTATTAGGAATTATAAAGAAAAATACATGGAAAAAGCTTTTGAAGATTTTAATACCTTTGGTTGATAATATTTTATCTATTTATTAATTTTTTCCAGCATTTTATTGTCATTACACTGTCACAAGTACAGCAAAACGTAATTCACTTCACATTCACATTTAACCCATCCCCTTGGGGAGCAGTGGGCTGCCATTTCCCGCACCCGGGGAGCAGTGTGGGGTTAAGGGTCTTTGCTCAGGAACTCAGAGTAGCAGTCTGTGGGAGTGGGTTTTACACTCACAACCTCAGGATTGCATGCTCTATGCCCTAACCAATGGGCATAATATTAATTAACAGATTACGAACTGAAAAAAAGCATAGCCCTGGTAACATGGTCAAATATCCTCAGGAAATCTAAAGAGAATCTTAATTGAGTGTTCAAATTGGTTTGTTGAAATTTTTAATACTTTCATACGCTTTGACAATTGCATTGGACAACAGAAATGAATGATTAGTGTAGTATGTATTTACATGCAGTTTTGTGTCTCTAAGATTTAAAGGAAAGCAGCTCATCACCAGGGGAACGGAAATGAATTATTAGCCTAATATGGTTAAGCTTAACTATTTTCAATTTTTAATATTTGAATCTTATCTAGATTTACTTGTTTACATTTATTTGAAATCAAGACTGAAAAAAGTTGAATCACACGTGACACACATTTGACATTTCAAAAGAAAAACCACTGCTGCCACTTTCCACAAGATTGCATTTACACCTGAGAAGTTTTTAAGTTCTACTATTTTCTGTTTTCATTACAGCAGCTTGTTTTCATTTCAGAGGTGACTTTACTTTTCTCATATCAACGGGATATGAGTCTGTATTAGAACACAGGCCCATGTTACTGCATTTTATTGCATTTTATCTTGACAGCTCCGTCTGTATATGTTATCCAGAGGCCCCTCAAAGTACTTGTTGTTTGCCAGGTTCATATAGTGGTGACAGGCAGCGACATAAGGCAGCATCTCAGAGGAATATAACAATTACTGTATTCTTTGGAATGTGAGGGCCCTGGTACCTACAAAGGAATTCAATTGTTTTTTGTTGTTTTTTTGCCTTCTTTAAGATAATAATTATGAGCTGAGGTGTTTAAAGGTTTTTAAAGTTACTTTGAAAAGTTTTATTAGATTTAACATTTTAGTTAATTTTAAAATATGGCCTGATCAGCAGTCAATATTGTTGGTAAAAGCAAATCTAAACAAACGGACTCATATTTTTATTAATATAAATTTTTTTAACATGGAACTAAGAAACCCTGTGTTTGGGGATTCTGTGTCTTATGGGACCCGTTTTGCAAAGCAGGTGTACTCAACGTCTGTTTCTGTTACTTTGGCAACATTTTTTTTCCCAAAGCTAACCTGGTAAGAAGCAGGTTTTCCCTAATAAACTCTGTCTTTTCTCTGTCTCCTCCATTCTTAAAACCAATTATGTTGTTTTATTTCCTGATTTAGTCAGGTTCTAGTATTGTGTGAACGTTGAAAACAAAACCATTCACTAGGTCAGATAGATATACAGGTGCTGGTCATAAAATTAGAATATCATGAAAAAGTAGATTGATTTCAGTAATTCCATTTAAAAAGTGAAACTTGTATATTATATTCATACATTACATACAAACTCATATATTTCAGATGTTTATTTTGTTTAATTTTGATGATTACAAATGACAACAAATGAAAATCTCAAATTCATCATATCAGAAAATTAGAATATTGTGAAAAGGTTCAAAATTGATGGCCCCTGGTGCCACACTCTAATCAGCTAATTAACTCAAACCACCTGCAAAAGCCTTTAAATGGTCTTTCAGTCTAGTTCTATAGGCTACACAATCATGGGGAAGACTGCTGACTTGACAGTTGTCCAAAAGACGACCATCGACACCTTGCACAAGGAGGGCAAGACACAAAAGGTCATCGCTAAAGAGGCTGGCTGTTCACAGAGCTCAGTGTCCAAGCACATTAATAGAGAGGCGAAGGGAAGGAAAAGATGTGGTCGAAAAAAGTGTACAAGCAAGAGAGATAACCGCACCCTGGAGAGGATTGTGAAACAAAACCCATTCAAAAATGTGGGGGAGATTCACAAAGAGTGGACTGCAGCTGGAGTGAGTGCTTCAAGAACCACCACACACAGACGTATGAAAGACATGGGTTTCTGCTGTCGCATTCCTTGTGTCAAGCCACTCTTGAACCACAGACAGTGTCAGAAGCGTCTTGCCTGGGCTAAAGAGAAACAGGACTGGACTGCTGGTGAGTGGTCCAAAGTCATGTTCTCTGATGAAAGTAAATTTTGCATTTCCTTTGGAAATCAAGGTCCCAGAGTCTGGAGGAAAAGAAGAGAGGCACTTCATCCACGTTGCTTGAAGTCCAGTGTAAAGTTTCCACAGTCAGTGATGGTTTGGGGTGCCATGTCATCTGCTGGTGTTGGTCCATTGTGTTTTCTGAGGTCCAGGGTCAACGCAGCCACATACCAGGAAGTTTTAGAGCACTTCATGCTTCCTGCAGCTGACCAACTTTTTGGAGATGCAGATTTCATTTTCCAACAGGACTTGGCACCTGCACACAGTGCCAAAGCTACCAGTACCTGGTTGAAGGACCATGGTATCCCTGTTCTTAATTGGCCAGCAAACTCTCCTGACCTTAACCCCATAGAAAATCTATGGGGTATTGTGAAGAAGAAGATGCAATACACCAGACCCAACAATTCAGAAGAGCTAAAAGCCACTATTAGAGCAACCTGGGCTATCATAACACCTGAGCAGTGCCACAGACTGATCGACTCCATGCCACGCCGCATTGCTGCAGTAATACAGGCCAAAGGAGGCCCAACTAAATACTGAGTGCTGTACATGCTCATACTTTTCATGTTCATACTTTTCAGTTGGCCAACATTTCTATAAATCCTTTGTTTTTATTGGTCTTCAGTAATATTCTAATTTTCTGATATGATGAATTTGAGATTTTCATTTGTTGTCATTTGTAATCATCAAAATTAAACAAAATAAACATCTGAAATATATGAGTTTGTATGTAATGTATGAATATAATATACAAGTTTCACTTTTTAAATGGAATTACTGAAATCAATCTACTTTTTCATGATATTCTAATTTTATGACCAGCACCTGTATTAGGTGTTAAAAACTCAAGCATAGCATTTCCTTTTGACCAGGATCCAATTAAAGAACACACAGGATTAATCCATAGAGGACTTATCACAGGCAATTTTAACATAAAATGAGCCTGTTCTGACTATCTGTAATTACTTCCATAGTTACTATAATACGTTCAGACCGAACCAGGAGCTGGAGCAAGAATTCCCATGTAATCTCATTGTAGAGGGCAGATCTGGAGTGAAGCCAGGCTGAGAGACAGGATTTGGCCAAAGCTATTGACAATTAATCACCGCCTGACCTGCCAATGGAATTTAAAAATCTGAACATTTGTTTGCATTCATGTCGCAAAATACAGACAAGGACTAGTTTTGATTATGAGCTACAGTGAAGGAGTAATGTAGAGATGAGCCTTTTTATTGAAAATGGATGATAGAGAAGACATTTTGACAAAGGATAAGGTGGGAATGCTCTTAAGAGGTTTAAGGTGACTTTAAAAAAAAGCTGTTTTAATTTAGCCCAAGAGGACTTTTTCATTGTCTTACTTCCAGTGTAGATGGATGCATTCTTTCTTTTGCTCTGCCGGTGTCTGCCTGGGCAAGCTTTCCTGATCCTCTGCGGTAGTCCTTTCACCTCCCGTAGTTATCCTAGAGGGCGTAGCCTCTCCTTGCTCTGCCTCTCAAGGTGGCTACTCTGATGTACCACTGTCCAAAACCGTGGTACAGCATTCCCAATGCGGGACAGCAGAGCCCACAGGTGCAGCTGAAAGCTTTTAGAGATGGTCTTAAAAACACTGCCAGTTGCTTTGCAAATCCATGACTACCATGATGAGCTGAAATGAAAGAACAGAAGAATCAAGGATGTAGGAGACTGTCGTCCGTTGAATAAATTCGCCTGCCGCGCTTAATGCTTTCTCTGGCCCGGCGAATACCAAGGAAAGCAAAAGCAGACGTATGTTTTGCGTTGAATGCACCTTAAAGATATTGTGGAAGATTTTCTCGAATTTTTTTACTAGACCTGCTCTCTCCACTTTAAAAAATTCCCAAAGAGCATGCAGGAGCCCATTTCTCCTTTTGCACGCTCTGTTTAAAAGGTGTTGTTCTCATAGCTCATATGAGCTTACTGTGTCTGAACATCTGCCCTTACCCCTAAATCCCTCAATCACTCTATAGAGCGGGGACTTTATAGTGAACTAAGTTAACTTACCGATTGGACAGACGATCACTTTCCTGTTGGTCCACTGCACAGTGCCTGCACCATCTTTATTAATAGTCGCCAATGTCAGGTAGCATCAGCCTATGGTGACAGCAATGTGACAGCAATTCCCATAATGCTTTGCGAGGTGAGTTCTCCCTACAAAGCATTCCCAATGTGGGACAGCAGAGCCCAGAAGTGCAGCTGAAAGCTTTTGGAGGTGGTCTTATTCCCCATACTTGTTCCATCTCTGGGAATCTGATGAACCTATGAACATGGACAACTTTTTCGGCTTTTTAAGGTAAAAAGTACTGCTACTGTAGTTGCTTTGTAAATCCATGACTACCACGAGGAGGTGAAATCAAAGAACAGTAATCAAGGATGCAGGAGACTATCGCATGTTAAGTGAATTCAAAACAGTTGTGACAGTAGACTCCAGTGTGAGGTCCTCTCCTGGCTGTGTGTCTCGGGTCATTGTGATGTCGGAAGACCCAGCCTCAACCCATCTTCAATGCTCTAACTGAGGAAGGGAGGTTGTTCCACAACATGGCCCCAGTCATACTCTCCTTAATACAGTGCAGTCACCCTGTCCTGTTTGCAGAAAAACACCCCCAAAGCATGATGCTACTATCTCCATGCTTCACATGAGGGATGGTGTTCTTGGGATGGAACTCATCTTTCTTCTTCCTCCACACATGGTTAGTAGAATTATGACCATAAAGTTCTATTTTGGTCTCATCTGACCATAGGACTTTCTCCCATGACTCCTCTGGATCATCAAAATGGTCATTGGTAAACTTAATATGGGCCTTTAAGTGGAACCTTCCGTGCCATGAATGATTTCAAACCATGACGTATTTCCAACAGTAACCTTGGAAACGTTGGTCCCAGGTCGTTTCAGGTCAGTGACCAGCTCCTGTAGCACTGAAAAAGTAGGCTAGATAATTTTAATTCAATTAAGACCTTAATGGGGGATAGTTGACATCTAAGTGACCTCTAATTTTACAAATGACCATTTTAAATGCACAAATCTGCACTAATGAAACTAACCATTTAGTCTATTTGCTGAGATTTTTTCAGATCAATGGGGTGTCAGCTCCGTGTAGCTGAAGCTCCTCCTATTTGATAAGGCGGCCCAGGGTGTAAACACTGTGCATCTGAAGTACAGAGCGGAAGAACCCCCCTTTTCACCACGTCCAGTCTGAATGCACCATAAGAGGAAAAGCTTGCATCTAAAGAAGCAAAACTGTTTTGAAGAAACTGTTTTTCCACAGATACTCAAAGGTGTATAAATACATTTGGAGGATGCTGAAAGAACTATCACAGCAAAGTCTGTGTTTTTGTTGCACTGATCTGTTGTCCTTTTTATACAGGATCTCCTGAGCAATACCATCTCTGGACTTGCCAAGATGTAGAATATACACACAGTCTAACCATAAAAGCATTAATTTGATTGCAAATTGAATTTCCTTATGATCACAAAACACTAACTTCTCAATGTTCTTTGAGTTCAGTGACTATGCAGCTTCTTCCGTGTTGTTGATAGGTGGCTCAACACACACCTATTTCATCCTACCCAGTCTGTTATCCCATGTCATGTCCCTAACCTTGTAAACAAAAGAAACTATTTGTGCAAGAGCATTTGTATTTTGTTATTCCATTGATGAGAGCCAATGCCACATCTCTTATGCAACTACTAGCTTCTCAAAAAGAAAACCGCTTTAGTTTTATAGATCTTTAATTCAAGCCATGCAATATTTTGCAAGTCATATTTGTTTTTCTAAACCTGTACAGGCTATGTTTTTATTTCTTAAAGCTTGAATTACTGTATATTTTAACTGAATTTCTTGAATCCTCAAGCTCTTATAACAGTTGTGTAGGATTAATCAGGAATATTCTGCTGGCTTTTGTATTGATGTACTGTACTGAAATAAACCAACACAGTTAAAGAAACATGAGGGGAAACAATGTGTTGAAAATTTTTTCAATATACTTGTTCTAATTAAACCAAGATATATAGTTTCATTTCACTGAAGGAAAAACCAGCAACTTCCAGTGGTTACTGTTTACCAGCACAAGTGATGGAGCTGTATTAAAAACTATTTCATCTCGACTTTCCACACATTTAAACTGTTTCTTTTAGCAATAATTACAGTTTATGACACAAACGTGTTATGGAAAACCTTTACAAATGGATTACTCATTCACACATGTTAGGGTGTAAAACCTGCTCCTCTACAGAGATTTAGAGGTCGGTAAAGCTTGCAGTGATAGAGATGATACTCATCTATTGAATATGGAGTGATGCCCTTTTAGTTCGAAAGCCAGGCATTATATCATGAAGTCTGGAGTTTGAATTTCCCCACTGTGGGACTGGAAAGGGATCATTATGTCAGACTGTTTTGGGATAATTGCAAACAAATTGCCATAGAAAGAACTTAACTTAATAATTTGTCTCACAAAGTTGTTAAAGTTCAACTCTAGTAATGCCTCAGCTACAAAGAAAATAATCTGTTTGCAGACATTGGATTATTACTTATTATCTGAATTGTCTGTCATTTTGTTTTTACAGGATTATTTATACATTGTTTTCTGTATCAGAGATCAAATACTGGAATTGTCTTAAAGTGCTATTCTGGTCTACAGAAAATGGGTCTCTACACTCTGGTAATTCCAGAAAAAGCATTAAAACACTGCAGCAGTTAGGCTCAGGTCTGTCAGTTGGCTTATGCCTGATGACATACAGAGAAAAAATATATATATATTTTTTTTACCCTGGATATGATATCCAGCTTTGAGATAAAGAAAATAAGCACAGGGACTCTAGAGTAGAGCCTATTCAAGGTGTTTTAGAAATCGGTTCAGAATCGAGGGGGTTTGGGACAACCTTGAAACAAAGGACTGCATTGATATTACTGAATATTTTTAAATATTACAGCAACAGGGTTTGATATGGAAGGAAAATATAAAATATTTATATTATTACTGAAATGTTTATGATGTGTGAATTTAAAATTACTTGTAAAAGCAATTCATCAAAGTAAAGAACAGAAATGTTGCAGTATCATGTCAACAAAAGTTTGTATATATTGCATATTCTCACTATGATGAAAGAACTGTCAACTCAAACCACTTGCAACTCCATAACGGGTGTTTGTAGCCACAATGAGCTGGATTCCAGTCATCTTCCCCACTGATAACTGCGCATGACTTTTTATCTTTCAGAAGTTTCAGGCAGCTTTAAGTCAACAACATCCATCACTTATATCGTAACGGAGCCATATGAGATGAGCAGGAACAGCAGCTATTTGCACTCATCCATCTACTTGGATATCACACTGAGAGGAGAAGACATCTCCCTGAGCTTCAGAACCAGTCAAAGCCCTGCCATGCTGCTCTATGTCAGCTCTTTTTACAGAGAATACTTGATTCTTCTCATCAACAAACATGGTGAGGACTTCTGTTAGAGAAAGACTTTCTATTCTTATAAACTTATAACCATTTTGTCCCTTAAACTACTTTCCCTTATGTGTTGGATATGCTCCATCATCCTTTCCAATTGCACTGTAGTCCAAAGCCATTTCAACACATATTGAAAATGGGGACGTATGACGGCCTTATGTAAACATATCAGCAGAATGATTGACAATAAGGAAGACCACTTATTTTGATAATCCACCTAGGAAAAAAAAATCCTCAACTATAACTTTAAGTACATCTATCAAGAAAAAAAACCCCACAAAACATTATAAATGGTGAATGGCCTGTACTTATACAGCAATTTTTCAAGTCAGGAGACTAGACCAAACCGTTTGACACTACATTCAGCCATTCACCCATTCACGCACACACTGATCATAGCGAGCTACATTTTAGCCACAGCTTCCCTGCAGCTCACTGACAGAAGCGAGGCTGCCATACACAGGTGCCACCAGTCCCTCCGACCACCATCAGTAGTCAATGCAGGTGGAGTATGTCTTGCCCAAGGATACAACAACACTGAAAGCGGGTGCAGGGGCTTGAACCAACAACCATCTGGTTGCAGGGCAAACTCCTTGATCTGACGCCCCATATAAAGCTGTCTTTGTCTGCTGATTGACACCCCCCTGTCCTATCCCTCAGTTAGATTCCCACCAGCTTAGGCTCTAAACAGATGGATTTATTTCCACCGACTGTTCTCAACAGCCTTTTGGCCCCATATACTTCAAAATAAGGTTGAACTATAATGTAGAGACTCTACAAAAGACTGGGGGGGGGGGGGGGGGGGGGGAGTATTTTTGTAATGAGTAGGAGACTTTACCCTATGTTCCTTAAATGCCACCTTAAATTTTGTTTTGTTTTGTTTTTAGAAACATGCCACAATATTTAAATTCAGTCATATTGTTGTGGTTTAGCCATATTTATTTGTGTTGGCCTGCATAGATGTTTTTTCTTTATTATTATTCTTCTACCATTATCTCTGATAGTCCAAGTATGTTTTACATGCTCACAGCATCTTCTGTTAGTATAACAATTCCTTTTTTGTGTCCAAAGAAATTTTTGTACCTCACTTTCAGAAGTGCTCAAACAGAAGCAAAGATACAACATTTAAGGTTAAAGTTTTAAAACCTCTTTGCTAGGGGTAAATGTTTACATTTCCATATTCCCCACCCATGAATTTGCACAGGTTGTTCCTTAGAATATAAGCTGCATACTGACAAAGGCATGCATGCAATAGAAGGTTTGCACATGTTGTCTACTGAATTGCAAATGCAAATCCCTGTGTGCCTTCTTTGAGGATTCGTGTTTTTCTAGTGTCTTGTTTAATAAATAAGTTTCATTTTCTGGCTGAGTGAAAAATAATACAGAACTTTTCTATAATATTCTTTTTCATTAGATTAACCTGTACAGATAAACACATCTTCAGGTTACATAAATTATATGTTATTGTCTCTGATCGCTGTTGCTCAAAAATCTATCTGGTAATTTTGATTTTCTACATGTTTCTCTTTAAAACTCCATTGTTGTTTTGTGTTTTACAGATGAGCTGGAAGTGAGGTACAAGTTGCACAGCAACAGAGATGAGGAGGTGTTGAACAGCCGAGTCATGAACTTAGCTGATGGGCGTTTGCACAGTGTGACCATTCGGCGACAGGCAGACAGTGTCTCTGTACAGGTAAACACAAACACACACAGACACACATACACCCACACATTTATACACACAACCCCCAATCAATCTGACAGATGCCAATGATTTTTCTCCTAAAATTTGAAATAAATTTACTGTATAATAATGGCAAAGTTTTCCAGTAGATTTTTTAGTAACCTGTAGAGACAGGAAAACAGGTAGACTCTGTAAATAAGGATTAAAAATTGACATATACGGTCATGTGAATTGATGAAATGAGTGATTGACAATTTGAAACAAGGTTTGATGCGCTGCTGATAATAGTAAATAAATACATATGGAGAGTGTCTATATCAAATTCTATAAATGTTCCAATGCAATACAAAATTAGAGGTAAAAATGTATATTAAGTAATTAATAATCAATTTATTTAGAGATATCAGCTATAGTACCAGGTGCTTTGATCAATAGCTTCTCAGAAGATACCGCTGGAAATAAATTACAGACATATTTCAGGAAAAGGGAATGCAATTATTCATGTAATGGTTGAAAATAGCCAGTAAAGTATATTTTTATATATATATATATATATATATATATATATATATATATATATATATATATATATATATATATATAAAATGTATTTAACCATACTTAATAATAATGTATTAAAATATATATATTTTTTCTATATAATACACATGATGTTATATTAAAGTTAGATTTATCAGAATAAAAACAAACTTAAACGGCCACGTTTTTGTGCACAAACAATGAATTTTAATGTAGTCACTAGTACAAACAGTAACCACACTTAGTAACAGGTTCACTAAAAGGTGGTAAAAAAGCAGAAACAAAGCAGTACTTTTTAAGTTTCCTTTTTTGTTAAAGAATGAATAAACAAATGACTAGCTTGTAGTGGTATAAAAGCCTTAACAGATTTTACATAGGATGCGCCGCAACACCATTGTGGTTGTATACAGAGCCCAGTCGCAGCTCCATTTCACATAAAGGAATTAAGCTGTTTGTGTATTGTTGGGTTCAAGGATGTACAAGGATATAATATATATATATATATAATATATAAAGAGACTTTCCCATTACATTCTGAATGAGAAGAGATAATTGTGAGCAAATTCTGCAACTAAGCATCAACAAGTGTGGCTGTCTTATATAAACAGAAGACACACACCAGCTAATACAGTACACATTTGCTCTGATAAATTTGTTAGAGTTAAGGACATTTTCAAATGTTTGCAAAAAGTTGATGTAGCTTAAAAAAGTAACTCTATGTCAATGTAAACAAGTAGAACATAAATTAATTACTATTACTTATAAACACAGACATTTCTGTTGCATTTTTGTAAAAACATTAATGCCATGTAATATGTACATTTATTTTATTTGGAGGCAGTAAAGAAAGACCAGACAAACATAAGCAAATTCCAGTTACCTGTTTATTTACCCTACACTTGGCATTGCTCTAGTTTGTACAGGTCTATGTCAAAAAAAATTATCTTTACCATTTATCTCTGTATTCAGCGCTTACCAAAGCCATAAATCACATTAAAAAAAGAACAAACAAACAAAAAAAGTCGTACTAATGTCACTTGTAATTCTATCCCCCTATAATACAATCTGCTGGTAGTTCTTAAGTCATTTACTTCCATTTGTGCTATTTTGTTCGGCCCTAGACTTAAACAGATCGTGGATGAAGGCAGGTCAGTCCCGATGATCCCGCAAATCAAATTTTTTTTGCTGTTTGGACCTGGCCTGCGTAGTAGATGAGCCCAATCGTACAACCAGACTTGACTAGCATGCTAACATGGCAGTAAAATTCAGCCGACAGGAGTCATTTTTACCTTTGTGCACTTCAAATGCGATAAAGTGATTAAAAGGATAGATAAAATGGTTCTCTGTAGGGAGCTCCAGGTCCTGAAAGGATTGATGCAAAGGGTGGAATCATTCAATTAGTTATTTTGCAGGCTCTAAAAGAAAACATTGACCGAAGAAGAAATGAATAACTGTGAATAGGATCAGGCTTTACTTACTAAATAAAAAACAGATGTCTACATATGTATTTTATTGAAAGTGAAAGTTTCTTGTTTTCAAATATTGGAAGTAATAATCCATTTTCTTACTTAAAAATTAAAACAGTTATTAACTAACAAAAACCTTTTCAAACAATTTTTGATTTTATTTGTTACAGAAAGTATATACTATAACTTCACCTCCATATGTCATCTGACATATATGAGTGGAAAAGAAAAAAGAAGGGTCAAGTCACAGGCTTAAATATTTCAACTGGTCATCTGGAACAATATATGATGAATCGAAATGTGAAAGATAAGCCTTCAGCCAGATATTAAGTGTTTATTCTGATTTAACATAGAGTGCAATTTTGTTTTTATTAAGAATCAATATATTAGGGTTCTATAAATAATATTAATATAATAATAATCCCTAGGCATCCACCCAAGCCAGTAATATCAGATCCCTGCTCACTTTACTCTTAAGAACAAGTGACACTCTGAGGTTTATCTCTGTACCGTTGTGAAATGAGGATGTCGCTTTTCTGATAGACTTCATTCGAGTTCCAGTAATAATCAAGCACTATCTGTTGTAACATTCCATAACAAAACGGTTAGTATTCTTAATAAAAAATAAAAAGTTGGTAGTGAAAATATTACCAAAAACATAATGTGGAGCTCTAGATAAGACCAGTTCTACATTCTGTAATACTATTGTCATGTCTTTTGTAAAGTCAGCAGCAACAAGAGTCCGTTTAGTTTTTTATCCAGCATTTAAATTACCAATAGCTTTTAGCTTACATAAATATGAACCAGGTAAGTTTTCTTTTGCTTCAGGAACAGCTATATTTAATGGTGGGCATATTGCCCTAGAGATGTCATTCCCTTATTAGTCACAAAGGATACAGACTCTTTTGCATTTGGCTTAATAATTAAGAAAATCCAAAGTTTTCACTGCAAATATTTAGTCTATACAAATAGTTTATAGTCTAACTTTCTGCCCTGATAAAAATCTATGGTAAACTAGCTCAATAGATGGCTTTGTCTTGTAAAGATACAGTGCAGAATGAGCCATTTTTAAGGTCATGTGATCAAAAGAGAGCATATATAATTATTTGCAGTGAATACTCAGCCAATATAATATCTATAGAAGAGAAACAGGAAGACAGGTCCAATGTATCATCTATAAAATTGTCGACAACAGTAGTTCAGCTGAGCTGAGCTAAGCCTCACAGCATGACTCTAGGAATAGCCTGAGATAACCTAAGCCACTCTAACTATACATAAGCTTTATAAAAATAAATTTAGTCTTAAAAATTAATATAGTCTGTGTTTCATTGGATAAAACTATAAGTTGGATTCACAGGAGAGGAGCCTGATAACAAAAAAAGTTCATATCTCATTGAATACGGCACAGTTGTCATTTACAGCACTTGTGATGTATTCCCCACTGCTTGCTTTTACTAGTCCGTTAATTTTGCTGCTCAGCTCTCAGCAGAACCTTGATCTCCGAACTGGTAAAGTCAAATTTCTTCATCTTCAATGCCAATGGTGGGAATGAACATTGTCTGACAGGCGCTGGAAGTCTTAGCCTCATATTTATTTATTTTTTTTTATTTATCCTTTATTTAACCAGGTAATACCCATTGAGATTAAAAATCTCTTTTGCAAGGGAGACCTGGCCAAGATGGGCATCAAAATTACATCACATCATTACATACGTATAAAAGACACACACATAAAAGCCAAATATGCACTTACAATAAAATTTCAATTAAAACATTGACATGTGAGGGAGTCTAATTCAAAACATCTAATTCTCAACTTAAAAGTATTCAAAGGAACCAATTTACTAAGTTTCATGTTATTTTGCAGCAAATTCCATGTAAAGGGAGCAGAGTAAGCAAAGGCCTTTTTACCCAGCTCAGTACTGACACGTGGGAAAGAAAACAAGACAACAGCCTGAGAACGGAGAGAGTAATGACCAGTACTTTTTTTCATAAGAAGTGAACATAAATAAGATGGAAGCGCACCAAGAATAGCCGTATATATAAATATATACCAATGACAAAGCCTCCGTGTAGCCAAGGCAGACCACCCTACACGAGAATACAGCTCACAGTGATGGGTGCGAGCTTTACAATTAGTAATAAATCTCAATGATGCGTGATAGGCTGCGTCTATCATCTGCAGGCATTGAGCAGATGAATGCATATATAATATATCACCATAGTCCAGCACAGTTAAAAAAGTGGATGCCACCAACCGTTTTTTTACATTAAAAGAAAAGCACAGCTTATTTCGAAAGTAAAAACCCAATTTTAGTCTCAACTTTCTCACTAGACAGTGAACATGAGGCTTAAATGATAGGTTGTCATCAATGACAATACCAAGATACTTATAAGTTGAAACTATCTGTATTTCACGACCATCAAGAGTAACCACTGAAGGAACATTCAGTGACCTGTTCCGAAGGTCTGTGAAAAGCATACATTTAGTTTTTTCTGCATTGAGCACAAGTTTCAACTGTAGCAAAGTATTTTGGACCACATTAAAAGCATTCTGTAAGTGTGCAATGGCTTGTTTAAGAGAAGGTGCACAGCAGTAAATAACTGTATCATCTGCATAAAAATGAAAATTTGCATCAGACACATGCCGATTAAGATCATTTATATAAATAGTAAATAAAAGAGGGCCTAATACAGAGCCTTGTGGAACCCCTTTAAAGACTGGTAAAATACCAGATTGAACACCATCATGCTTAATGCACTGAGTTCTGTCACTAAGATAGTTTGAAAACCAAGAGACAGTTTTCTTTGAAAACCCTGATTTAAGAAGCCTAATCTTTAGAACATCATGATCAACCGTGTCAAACGCTTTTGACAAATCAATAAAAAGTGATGCACAGTGCTGCTTCTTGTCACGAGCAACAGAGATATCATTTATCACCTTCATTGCAGCTGTGATGGTACTATGTTTTTTTCTAAAACCTGACTGAACTGGGGATAAAAT